CGGAGGGCGCGGTGCTCGGGTCGGCATAGCTGCCCGGCACCGAGCTGGGGGTACCCTGAGCTGGGGCAGGACCATTTCAGAAGTCCAGCGTTTTAGGAAGACTGGCCATCAAACCCAGAGTCTCCGCGCATCCTGCAGCTGAATGTTAGGTTCTCATCGGGGAGCTGAGAAATAAATGAGGCAGCCTGCCACCGTGAGATTCCGGAGCTGTAGAATGGGAACTTAGCAACTTCGGTTTCATTCATGATGTTGCCTTCTAAAGTAAACATGAGCTGTTCGTAGTCCTGCTACCGGGAAGTCTTAAACATTTCTCCCAGATTGTTTTCCTTTAACAAACCGAGGCGTTTTGATTCCTCTACCAAAGCAACATTGGGTTTAGCGTTGCTAGTTAGACCCTTCTCAGCCTGCTCGCCCTTAATTGCTTGGTTTGATATTTTCTCAACACCCCCTTTGTCTTTTATTGCTGTTCATGGACACATTACCCACTCCACCCCACCCCCAGTAAAACAATGAAATAGTGTGGAATCCCTTCAGTGGAGTTTTGATGATGACCCTAATAGACAACAAAAGTTTTGCTGGTAGTGTTTATCGTTCCTTTATGCTGGTGCCTTTGACATGTAAAGTGTCATGTCAACCAAAGTTTATTATGCATTTATTATGGTAGTAAAAACAAAGAGTCACTAAAGCAACCATGTATTATATGAAATATTCCAAATTGGGTGGAATTCTGTGCTCAAGCAGCTGTCATTGGTGACCTTTACCCATTTTCAGACACTTCCAGCCCTCAGAATGTGTCAGTCATGAAATCATTCCAAAACTAATAAATGGCATATCAGTGTCTTATACCTTGGTAAGTAGTTCTGATAGCAGCATGGAATTTTTGGTATAGAGCTACAAGTTAAAGGATGCTGTGATAACTGAATTACTTTATCTTACCAGTAACAAAAACCAGGTTTCAAGTTTAAAATGACAAATGGTTGCCTTTATAAGGATGCCTTTTCCTGTTCCACCCCCACCCCCACTTTGGTTGAAAAATATACTTTTTAAATATTTAACTTTATGTGTATGGGTGTCATGTCTGAACATAAGACTGTGGGCCACTTGTGTGCCTCGTGCCCTTGGAGGCCAGAGAGAGCATTACAGGTGGTTGTTAGCTGTAGTGTTGGTTTGGCTCTGAAAAAATAGACTGTGCTCTTAGCTGCTGAACCACCTCTCTAGCCTTGGAAAAATATTTTAAAATATAAAGACTTCTTCGAGGGAGGTTCAGACATGAGGATCAAGAATTCAAAGCTGGCCTGGCCTACATTGTGAGTTTGAGGGCAGCCTGGGCTATATGGCTTTAGGAAAAAAACAAACAAACAAACAAACAAAAAACCTGCTTTGATAGTCATATGAATCCTATATACATTCGAAGGAATAGGTTTCCTTTCAAGGTTCATATAAATATTTCTGGTTACTATTTAACTAAAATGTCAAAAACAATTTTCTTTTATATCACAGAGATGGTTTGAAGCTTGAAACTGAATTATTGGATGGAAGAACAAAGCTAATACTGTCTCCATATGGTATGCTGTGTTATTGGAAGGCTAAAATGTTTAAGTTTGTATGTAGAACTTGTAATAGTTTAACAGACATTTTGCTTGTAATGAGATAGTTAAGTGACACTTGGAAAAAGCTTTTTCTCTTAATGCCTCAAATTGACGTTTATCCAAGTAAAGACAGATTGTGACAGTGATTACCGCTGTCACTATTGGTTCATAAAATGTATTTCATCTGTAATATATTTTTGATGTTAGCATACCTTCTTGCCTAATAAGTAATGAAGGTAGAGTTTAGAGGATTATGTACTTTTCACTTAAGCTATTGTGTGAGAAAGTTAAATGTATACAGTATTGCTATATAGTTGCTAAAGTCTTTTATTATTGTTATTTGTTAGTTTTTTTTAAAGATTTATTTATTACACATGCACTGTTCTACCTATATGCCAGAAGAGGGTACCAGATTGAATTGTAGATAGTTGTGAGCCACCATGTGGTTGCTGGGAATTGAACTCAGGACCTCTGGAAAAGCAGTCAATGCTCTTAACCTCTGAGCCATCTCTTTAGCCCCCTATTTGTTAGTTTTTAAACTCAGTATAGTTTCTCAGTTTTATCCATCATATTATTTGCCTGCCCCCTCTCTGGCATCTGCTTTTATCCTTACCTTGGAAAGATAACTTGAATAAAAATGAAATGGCGGTTAATACTTGAACCACCACATTGTAAAAGTGGGAATACTCAGTTGGGACTTATGGTTAGTGCTTGTGGGATAGTATTTTTATCCTACATTGTAAACAGTACTTAATGTTATTTTGTCACTGCCTTGACATGTTTTGGGTTTATAGTTTAGTAATTTTATTTTCTTTTGTAGAGCATAAATCAAAAGTTTCTGTGAAGGTAAGTTACGTGATTTTGACCCTACCTGTTTCCACGGGTGAAATATATACTTTCATGGGTGCTGTATGTTGAGGCGGGGCCTCTCAGGTGGACCCAGAGCTTGCCAGTACAGCTCGTGAAGCTGGGCAGCTTTCTCTGGAGGACTTCCTGTCTCTGCTTTCTGAGTGCTGGAATTAGAGGTGGGCCTTCGTATGCACCCAGCATTTATGTGTGCTCTGAGCATCCAAATACTGCTCCTTGGCAAGCGCTTTAACCACTGGGCCATCTCCTCAACCAGAACTTTGTCTTTATAGTAGAAATATTGATAGAACTTGCTTTTTTTTTTTTTTAAAGTGTTTTATTACATAATCTCATCCAGTAAGCTCTTGGGAATGATTTGGGGTTGGTTGCTTTTCTTGCTTAATAACCTGAACATAACTGAATCTTTATAGGGAAGTCTCTGGTCTCGAACTCACAGAGATCCGCCTGCCTCTGCCTCTGCCTCTGCCTCTGCCTCTGCCTCTGCCTCTGCCTCTGCCTCTGCCTCTGCCTCTGCCTCTGCCTCTGCCTCTGCCTCTGCCTCTGCCTCTGCTCACAGAGATCCGCCTGCCTCTGCCTCTGCCTCTGCCTCTGCCTCCCGTGTGCTGGGATTAAATACATGTGCCACCACCATCCAGCCTTGCAGCCTCCTTTTATTATTCCTTTTGGCCTTGAGCTATAGTGCTTAGAATTAAACTAATTGCACCTTGACATGATGTGCCATCACTGAGTTTTTGGTAAATGTTTTTAAAAGACCTTTTCTACGTATCACTTCTGGCACAGCTGGAATATGGCAAAATAATAATAGTTATCGGGCTCTGGTTGGTAGGTTTGTGTCCAGCAGAGATTTTCAGCAGCTTCGAAGCTCCAGCATGGCCTAGAGCACCACTTTGGCTTTATTCCTCCTCTTCAGGAGAGAGAAACAATTAGAAAGCTCCACCCTTGTTTTCTAGAAGTGTGAAGGCCAGGTAGATGACTATAGTGAAAGAGTTAAATGGGAACTAGACACCTGTGAAGGTGTAAACACTGGAGAGCAGTGCCTGCTGATGTAGAACCAAGAGATGACTCTTGCATGAGGTGACTTTGTAATTAGAAGTTCAGAGATGATGGATTAGTTAAAGAAGTTGGGAAGTATATTCCAGGCCCGAAGAAAATACTGCAAAATGCCAAATTATGAAAAATAAGTTATTGTGAAAAATGGTGTACCCTGGGGACATGTAGGACATAAAGCTTAGGTGGAACATTTGAATTTATGCTCAAGGACCTTGAAAATGGTGTGACTTATTATAAGAAATCCATTAAAGACTTTTTAAAGATGGGATTTCACTGTATAACTCAGGCTAGCACAGAATACCACCGTCTTCCTTCCCCAGCCACAGTGCTGGGATTACAAGCATGCACTCCCAAGCTCAGCTCAGTATAGGAGTTTTGATAATGGGAGTAGTAGATATGATCTATTTTTCTACACAGGAGAGCACAGTTAGGTAGCTCCATGAAAGGCAGATGATTGTAACAGGAAACTGGTTCCTTGTCAGTTACAACAGCCTAAATGACCTTTAACGCCTGTTATGGGAGTCTGCCATACTTAGCAGTTTGAATGAGATAATGTTTAGACACTATGAAACAACAAAGGCTCATGAGTCAAGATAGCAAGAAGAGTCGAATTCCAGTGGTTGGAGATGAACTGGGGTGATAGGTAGAGTTCACCTGTTTGAGCCATGTGCAGTATGTAGATAATTTGGTTGATAAAGTAACTTGAAAAACTAAAATTACTTGTTTTTTTATTTTTTTGGTTTGGTTTTTGGGTTTTTTTTTTTTTTTTTTTTTTTTTTTTTTTTTTTTTTTTTGAGACAGGGTCTCCACACAGTTCTGGCTCTACTGGAACTTGCTATGTAGACCAAGCTGGCCTTGAACTCACATAGATGCATCTGCATCTGCCTCTGCCTCTTGAGTGCTAGAATTAAAGGTATGTGCCACCACGCCTGGCTCTAAAATGACTTGTTTATGTCTAAAAATGAGGATCTAAAATTGGGCATTCTTGATTTTCTTGAACTATTGGATGATCTTCCAACTAGGCTGTATTCCTGTACAACAGTGCATCATAGCTGGGAAATATGGTAGTATCCTTTAGATGAGAAAAATGACCTTAAAGTCATGCCAGTTTCCATCTGGTCCAACTTACAGAACATATTTTAAATTGTCACCCATCATTTAGACAGTTCTATTGAAAAAGCTCCAGGGATGCAAAGGCAAAAAGATACCCAGATGCTGGTATTATCCAAACCTGGAAGCCAGCAGCTGGAGAGACACCTCAGCAGCTAAGAGCACTGACTGCTCCTGCAACATGGTAGAGGAAACTATTGTTTCTTCTGACCTCAGTGGGCCCAGCACATATATGATGCACCAACATACACTCAGGCACACACACATAAAATGTGTATTTTTAAAAACAACCGAAACCTAAAGCTAGGAATACACAGGGTGAGCGGTTTGATTAGTATGTGTGACAGAATGCAGAAAAAAGAAAAGAAACGATTCTGGTTGGTGGTGGTATCTAAGATTGATAAGAAGGAAAAGAGCAAGTGGGGAGGTGTTATGATGGGAAGATAATAGATTCCAGCACATGCAGACACTACTCAGAATTGGGATGTGGGAGAGAATGAGGTAGCAAACAGGAGATGATAGTCATTATCTAGAAATTAAAATTGAAATTGTAGAGAGCCTATAGTTGTGGGTCCTTATAGGGTCAGTATAAGATCACTGGGGTTCTAGTACAACATCCAGGACACTGGGGAAATGAGTGAGGCCATATGGAGACAAATATAAGACGAACATGAGGAAGTGACTAGCCAGAAAGGTAGAAGAGTAACTATGGGGATGTGAACACAACAGTAATTAAGACAGGACTGGAATTGGAGAGTTGGTGACCAAGCAGCTAAGATAGTTGAGGAATAAGGACTGGTAATCTCAAAGGTAGTATGAGTTATATAATTTACTGACACTAAATTCAAAGCTGACATAGAATGGAGATGACCTATAACATACAATTTTATTTGTTTTCTTTTGTGTCTGGAGTTAAAATAATTTCTCATTGTTGAGTTTTTCAAGTGTAAGTCTGCAAAGGTGAACAATATCTTATGGCTTAGTATCTAGTAGCAAAATGAAAAGTTTTAGAGGCCCAATTTGCTGGGAGTTGGTGGCGCATGCCTTTAATCTCAGCACTCGATAGGCAGAGGCAGGTGGATCTCTGTGAGTTTGAGATCAGCCTGGTCTACAAGAGCTAGTTCCAGGACAGCCTCCAAAGCCACAGAGAAACCTGTATGGAGTGGGGGGGGTTAATTTATCACAGATTTTAAGAATAAAGATTATTGTTTGCTGGGTGTAGTGGTTCAGACTTGTAATCTCAGAAGAGATGAGAGGATCAAGGCCAGCTTAGGCTGCATAGCAATACCGTGTCTTCAGACAAAAATGTTCATTTCGGTTTTTTCATACACTGTCATAAAGAATAAACTTGTGTTTTAACAGATGGGAAATAAGATGAAGATTGAAAAATGTCCTTTAAGAATAAAACAGACTGGACACGTTCTAAAATCAACACAGAATTCTTACATTGGGAATGAAAACAGTTTTCAAAAGAAGATAATTAGCTCAGAAACTTCACAGGCAAAACCTGAGAAAAGTAGATTGACATTTTCACCTTCTAAGGATCTATGTCAGCAGCATGCAGAAAAAGACTGTCTTCATTTCCAAAAACAGTCTTTACTCGCAACCTCTAATATACAGAAGACTATAAACACCACAGTGGCTAAACAGAAGTCTTGCAAAACACACACCACTGAAAACATGAACAGCAGCATGGTGTGTCTAACACAAGATCAACTACGGCAGATTCTGATGAGTGTAAACCAAAGAAATGGATCTATGCCCCTAACTGAAAATGGAAAGGAGGAGGAAACAAGTAAGATTTTTTTTAAACTTTGTTAACTATTAATTTTCTCAGAATATGCTTTTGAATTTCAGATTTATTGACTGCTTTTGTGACTGTGTCTCTTGGAATCTGATTTAACATGCAGTAATCCTTTTTTTTTTTTTTTTTTTGGTGGGGCAGGGTCAGGGTTGAGACGGGGTTCGCTCTATAGACCAGGCTGGCCTCAAACCCAAGTACTGGGATTAGAGGCGTGTGCCACCACCATCTGGCACATGCAGTAATTTTAAATTCTTATTCACATTAGGCTTTTCTTAAACATAAAATATGTAAAAACTGCTTTATAGTTTTGCCATATTTTAAGATTAATGCTCAATTTTTATTTATTTGTTTGTTTGTTTGTTTGTTTGAGGCAGGGTCTCTCAATGTAGTTATAGCTGTCCTGGGGTTTTTTGTACATAAACCAGGCTGGCCTCAAACTCACAGAGATCAATCTGCCTCTGCCTCCTGAGTGCTGGGATTAAAAGCATTTGCTACTCTGCCTGACCTAAAAATAATCTTAAAATAGCTGGGTTTGGGCTGGAGAGAGAGCTCAACAGTTAGGGTTTAACCCTGCAATCTCTGTATTCAGCAGACTGAGGCAGGAGTACACAAACTGAGGCAACCTTGAGCTACCTAGGGGGCTCCATTTCAAAAAACAAATTACATTCAAGAGTTTAAAAAGATAAACCTCTGATATTGAAGTGAATCTTAAGAACACCTTGCTATGACGACTTGAGCTTCTGAAATACATTGTTTTGGTTGCTGTGTGTGCTTCCTGTCCTTCCCTCCATCTGTGCTAAGGTTGGCTGTGCTATGCTTTGACAAGTGTAAATCAGATTTATCCATAGAAGAGTATCTTTTATTTTATTTATTTATTTATTTATCTTTTTATTTTGGTTTTTCAAGACAAGGTTTCCCTGTATAGCTTTGGAGCCTATCCTGGCCTATCCTGGCACTCGCTCTGGAGACCAGGCTGGCCTCGAACTCACAGAGATCCACCTTCCTCTGCCTCCCGAGTGCTGGAGTTAAAGGTGTGTGCCACCAACACCCGGCTTTAGGCTTTCTGTTTCACTTGTCAGAGTTATGTTTTAAAAACCTAAGTTCAGCTTTGAGCTAAGGAATTATGACTATGAAAGTACTCGAAATGCCAAAATATTAAGTATAGTGAAATGAAAATAAAATGGTCCTGACCACGGAAGGGTCACACAACTAGCTTGGGTGCTGGATAACTTCTATATGCTCCCACATATTCACAGCAGAATTCCTTCTCCCAGTCTATATTACTTGTGAAATAAAGGAAGTTGGTTTTCTTTAAGGCTAGAATTGTAGCTGAGAACTGTATCTCATTGCAAGGTATAGTGAGAGTATTGGTAGAGTTAAGACACTTTACTTAATCCTAGGATAACTTGCATTTTAGATACTCCATCCTCTTTGAAATGGCATGTTCAGGAGGAATCACAACAATGTTTAAGCTAGAGTATAAACCTTCTGTACAACACTTGGTTTAGTTATGATGGCTGGGGCATATAGACCACAGTTCACAGACAACTTCTACGGGTAAAGAAGAAAAAGAAGATCATGGTATTTTGTTTTGTTTTTAATAAATTTATTTATTCATTTATTTTACATCCCGGCCAGTTTCCCCTCACTCCTCTCCCCCCAGTCTCTCCCTCCATCCCCTCTCTGTTTCCACCCCCCCCAATCCATCCCTCCTTCATTTATTCATGGGATTTTTATTAAACTGTTTGCATTTGCTTCTGTTTATGTTGTGATTTATATTATAATTACATAGAATTACAAATTTGTAATTATATAAATTAAGTTATAAATTATTTTGGCAAGAGTGAATGGAAGTTTTTTTGTTTTGTTTTTTGTTTTGTTTTGTCAAACAGATCTCACATAACCTGGCTGGCTTCAAACTCAGTACATAACTGAAGACTGAACTTGTGTCTTTCCGCCTCTGCCTCCTGAGTCCTGAGACACAGGTATGCACCACCCTACTGGTTCATGCAGTGCTACAGATGGAATATACTGGGTTGGCATATGAGGCAAGCATTTTGATCTATTCTAGGCAAGCTTAATGGTTTTTTGTTTTTCTGTTTTTGCTTGTTTTCTTTTTTATTTGATGTAAAAAGTTATATGGCTGTGGCCAGGAGTGAGCTATTTAATCTCTGGGCCACAATTTTTCTCTTTAGGGTAAGGTCTCATGTAGGTTAGGCTGGCCTCAGTCTACCCTAACTCAAAACAAAAGATCATATCAGTCTGTTTTGCTGTTTGTTATAACAACCCTGCTATTGTTTCCAGGGTGGTCTTGAACTCCTCCCAATCTTCTTACCCTTAGGAATCATCCAGACTCTTGGCTTGCACTGAGTACTAGCTTATATGGTGCTGGGAGTCATCCTAAGGCTGTGTTCATGTGAGGGAGGCACTCTACTGACCGGGCTGCAATCTAGCCTGTTGGGTTTTGTTTTTGAGACATCCTCATGTAGCAGAGGCAGCCTTTAACTCCTGATTGTCTTGCTCTGTCTGCTGAGTGCCAGGATTGCAGTTGTGTGCCATCATGCCCAAGAGTCAGGGTCTCACTGTGTAGCCCTGGCTAGACTGAACACAGAGATTGGCCTGCCTTTGCTTCCTGAGTGCTGGGACTAAAGGTTTGTACCTCTCTACCTCCCTATATTTATTTGTTTGTTTTGAGGCGAGGTCTCACTCTGTGCCCTAGGCTGGCTAAGTACTTGGTATTTTGTCCAGACTGGCCTCAAACTCAGAATGATCCTCTTGCCCCAGTTTCCCGAGTTTTTCCTGAGGGTTATGGGTGTAAGCCATCATGCCTGCTAAGACTTTTCTTTCAACTGTATAGGTATGTTTGGATGAGGTGTTATATGATAGTGTGATTTTAAAACATGCATTTTATCTCCTAGGTCAAGATAGTTTACATTTAATCAATATTGCTAGCCCACTAAAGGATGTGAATGTGCAGAAAACAGAGGCTGTTTCATCTGTCTCAAATGGAAATAACTATGTCTTCAGTAGAACTCAAGAAGCTTTTCCACAGTGTGAGCAGAAAATTGCCATGTATGTGACTCATGTGTGTTTCTGGGGTATCTGGAGAATATGTATTTGCTTGTCCATTGCATGTGAAGTGCTCTGAAGACTTAGCTATTTATGCAGTGGAAACATAATGGTAAGGCTCCTGGGTTTCATGTGTGTGTTTTATCTTAGGGAGAATGAGTGGAAACCAGCTGATATATTCAGTACTCTGGGGGAACGGGAACGCGACAGAAGTTTGTTGGAAGCAAGAAGAGCCCAGTGGAAAAAAGAGCTAGGTAATTTATGTGCTTTCTAGTATAATTTTGCTGGCTCATGGAGTACTTAGTTATCTTTCTGTATGTTACCAAGTCTTGTTCGATAACATGTAACATCTGTAGTTCTCTGCAGACTCCTGAGAAGCTTTAGGGTTTCACATTGCCCTGTGTCTTTGGTGCTCTTCTTCAATGTGCACCAAAATAAGTGTGCCACTAGCATCCTTCTGGAGCCCTGCAAATATTCCTAAACCTTTTCTACTTATGTTGTTCTGTTATAGAAATCCTGTGGATTGAGGTATGGCTTTATTAAAAAATAGTTCACTGTGTGTATGGAGGGGAGAGGTCAGACAACAATTTGTAAGGGTCAGTTCTCTTCCCTTCTTCCACCATCTGAGTCTTGGGATTGAATTTAGATTGTTAGGCTTGGTGGCAAGCACCTTCACCCAGTGAGCCATCTCACATGCCCATAGCTTCAATTCCTATTTCAGATTCAGCAATTAGTGAGAACTGACTAATATCCTTACTTTGTGCTAGGCCCTACCCTGAAACAGGCAATACCTTTACTCAGTTTTACAGAAGAAACCAAGGTTTAGTGGGTGAAATAGCAGTTTGTCTGTTGCATATATAGGAAGTGGTTGAGCTTGAAGTGGACCCTAAAGTTTGTTATGTACCTTCTAAGTTTATTAGTAATAATAACATAGGAAGGTGGAAACGCAGAGTGCTTAGCATAGCATTATTCTGAGAAATTGTTCCATGTTACTGACCTCTATAATAAAAACATTCTTAAAAATAAATAAATAAATAAATAAATAAATAAATAAATAAATAAATAAAGGCTGGGCGTTGGTGGCGCACGCCTTTAATCCCAGCACTCGGGAGGCAGAGGCAGGTGGATCTCTTTAAGTCCGAGGCCAGCCTGGTCTCCAGAGCAAGTGCCAGGATAGGCTCCAAAGCTACACAGAGAAACCCTGTCTTGAACCCCCCCAAAAAAAAAAACCAAAACATTCTTACATCTGTCTGTGCTATACTTAAGTTTGATTCTGATTCAATATTTTCTTTTATCCCATATCCTTCGAAGTTCCTTTCTGCCTTGTGAGTCATCTTCTCCCAAGCAAACAACTTTGATTAACTGCTTCATTTTGTACTCTTTAAAGTCATGATTTGTTTACATGAATTTTTTAGTTTTTGTACATATTTTTTATAAAGGACATTATTTACAGATGAACAGGTTGCTTTAAAGAAGAAAGAGAAAGAAGCTTCTCAAAAATGGAATAATCCTTGGAAAAAATCTGAAATAGTATGTGAGAAACTTCAAATCCTTGACCAATCTAAGGTAAGAATATCAAATTCAGTCAAGCATTCTGCTTATGACTTTGTTATTACAATTTTTTTGTTTTGTTTTTTTTCAAGACAGGGTTTCACTAATTAGCTCAGGCTGTCCTAGAATTCACTATGTAGACAAGGCTGGCCTGAAACTCACAGAGATTTACCTGCTTCTGCCCTCAGATATTAAAGATATGTACAACCATGCCTGGCCTTTATTACAATTTTTTTTGGGGGGGGGGGATTTATTTATTATGTATACAGTGTTCTGCCTGCCAGAAGAGGGCAGCAGATCTCATTATAGATGATTGTGAGCCACCATGTAGTTGCTGGGAATTGAATTCAGGACCTCTGGAAAAGCAACTAGTGTTCTTAACCTCTGAGCCATCTCTCCAGCTCCTGTATTACAACATTTTAAATGTTCAAATTATAGGACCTCCTTTGATGATTTGGGGTTTTTTGAGGCAGGGTTTTGCTATGTAGCCCTGGCTGGCCTCAAACTTATGACAGTTCTTCTGCCTCAACTGATTTGTGCTAGGATTCCAGGCATATGCCATCATGCCCAGCACTATACGTCTTATTTTTAGTGCTCATTGATTAAAAATGAAAACCACTTTTCTTAAGTGTAACATGGTGCTTAATTTAACAATGACCCAACCTAGTTTTCTCAATTTCCATTTGCAATTTGGAAGCTGCCTTGCTGATCTTTATTGGTGTTTAATTTTAGGTAAAGACATAGTTTGTCTTCCTTTTTCTCCCTCCTTTGTTCCTGTCTTTCTCTCCTTCTGTTTCCTCAAACATTCTGTCACAGGTTCCTAGACAGATTATAGCTGTCCAGGGTGATAGATGGCTACTACTTAAGCTATTCAGTCATTAGATGCTGAGATCTAAGTGTTAGTACTTTGGATGTTTGAACCCCGTAGTCCTTTTTTCTGTATAACCTATTTGCTTCGAAGGAATGATTCTGAGTTTCTTTTTTTAATTGCCAATTATTAGATTTTTTTTTTTTTTACTTTTCAAGTGTGTGTGTGTGTGTGTGTGTGTGATTTGCTTAGATATCATGTATGTATATTCTCAAGTATGTAGTTACACATGTGCACATGTGTACATCCCTGTGGAGGCCAGAGAGTAACTTCCAGTGTCTTCCTAACTCACTCTCCACCTTATATGTTGAGTTTCTCACTTGAGTTGGAGCTCCAGTTCAGTGAGTCTGGTTCCGGGGCTTGAACTTACTTGCTGGATTATGGACAGGCTCCCTCAACTGCCCAACATTTATGTGGGTGCTGGAGTCCAGACTTCCTCACACTTATTGTCAAGGGCTTTTATCTGTGACTCAGTAGTGAAAGTCTGAAAGCTAAATCATAAACTCCAAGATTGGATAAACAAGAATGACAGAAGTGAAGCCGGGCAGTGGTGGCGCACATTTTTAATCCCAGCACTCGGAGGCAGAGACAGACGGATCTCAGTGAGTTTGAGACCAGCCTGGTCTACAGAGTGAGTCCTAGGACAGCCTCCAAAGCCACAGAGAAACCCTGTCGGCAAGGGGGGGGGGGGGGGGGGGGGGCAAAAAAACCAAACCAAAACAAACAAAAAAGAATGACAGAAGTGTAATGAACTGCTTGTCCTTTCAGTGTTGAAGTGTGGCCTTATGTATTGTGGATGTGATATGCTATTGGGGAAGTTTTTGTTGCTTTTTCTTTTTGTACACACCAGGAAAGAGTTACATCTTCAGCCCTTGGAGGAATACTATTTTATTGAGGAAAAAAGAATGAACTTTGTAATACGAAAGCCCATTCCTTTACAAACACGGTACACTTTTATACTCCTTTTGTGCTTCCAAGTTAATTAAGCATGAGGCTTTTGAGATTACCCCTTAGTTGAAATCTTGGCTTTCCTCTCATGAATAGCACCTCCTAGAAACCTCTGAAATAAAGAGGGTATGTTCTAATACACACTTTAATACAGAATAGTTACCACCGAAGACTACACTCCAGATGTTTGCCATTGTCAGACCATAGTTCTGCAGTTGACTAACAAAGTTGTTTTGTACTTTGCCTAATTACAAAACAAACAAACCCTTCATGTTTTGAGGTAAATTACATATAGCCTAACATTTACATTTACCATTTTTAAAAATATTGTTTTTTACATTTGTGTGTATATCTGTGTGTGTATGTGTGTATGATTGTGTCATAACCTGTGTGGAGGTCAGTAAACAACATCCAAGAGTCACTGGGTCCAGGATTAAACTTGGGTCATCAGGTTAGGCAAATGACCTTATTTGCTGAGCCATCTCACTGGGATGATCAAGTAGTACACTGGGAATAATTAAAGCCACAAGTTATTATGAAGTCTTTAATACGTGACTTAGGATCTCTATTGCTGCAATGAAACAAAACACCATGGCCAAAAAGTAAGTTGGGAGGAAAGGGTTTATTTGGCTTACACTTTTGCATTGTAATTTATCACTGAAGGAACCTAGAACAGGAACTCAAACAGGGCAGGAACTTGGAGGCAGGAGCTGATGCAGATGCCATAGAGGGAGCTGCTTACTGGCTTGTTCCTAATGGCTTGCTCTGCCTGCTTTCTTATAGAACTCAGGACACCAGGCTAGGGATGGCACCACCTATAATGGAGTGGGCCCTCCTCTATCAATCACTAATTAAGAAAATGTTACTGCTCATGGGAGGACACACCTTTAATCCCAGTACTTGGTAGGTAGAGGCAAAAGAGAATCTAAGTTTGAGGCCAGCCAGGGCTGCTACCCAGAGAAACCCTGTCTCGAAAAACCAAAAAAGGAAAAAAAAATGTCCTATAGTTGGATCTTATAGGGACATATTCTTAATTGAGGTTCCTCCTTTCAGATAACTATCATGTGTCACATTGACATAACACTATCCAGCACAGTATGTAAGCTCCTCAAAAGACTAGCGTGCATGGAAAAGAATGTAGAGTCTGTGAACATTTGAAAACAAGTAAGAGAACATTAAGAACAACTGGTGTAGAGAGATAGCCCAGTGGTTAAGAGTACATACTGCTCTTAAAGAGGACTGAGTTCAGTTCCCAGCATCCATCCTGGGTAGCTCACCATGCCTGTAACTCCAGCCCCAGGACACCTGACACCCTGTTTTGGACTCTGTGGGAACCTGCACCTGTGCACACACCTACACATACATGAAATTAAGAATAGTAAAAACCTTAAAACCTTATGCCAAAATATTAGAGAATTTTGACAAAAAAAAAAAAAAGACCAAAGCAGCAGTGATCAAATGGTACTATATTTCTGAAGAAGTTGAATCCATTATTAAAGGTGTCTCTATTCAGGAAACAGGCTGGAGGGTCAGAAGTTTGGGGCCAGTCTGGGATAATATGTAGTGGGACCTTATCTCAAACCAAAGATGAAGAAGGGAAAGAGGGGGACCCCAACAAAGTAAACTCCAGACTCAAAAGTATTTACAATAGGAAGGTTTTCAGTGTGGTGATCAGACTAGTGATCCTGATAACCAAGACTAACAAAGTACCTTTGATATTAAAACTTGACTAGAAACCTTAGAAGAATTAAAAAGAATAATCTGGAGAGTTGGGTTATTCAAGGAATGCAAGGTAGCATTAATATTCACAAACTAATGCTACTCATAGAAATATACTTAATCAAAAAGGCTAGATTAAGCTGGGTGGTGGTGGCTCATGCCTTTAATCCCAGCACTAGGAGGCTGAGGCAAGTGGATCTCTGAGTTTGAAGCCAGCCTAGTCTACAGAGTGAATTCCAGGACAGCCAGGGCTACAGAGAGAAACCCTGTCTCAAAATACAAAAACAAAAAGCCTAGATTAAGATTAATATTTACAAACCGGACGGTGGCACACGCCTTTAATCCCAGCACTTAGGATGCAGAGGCAGGTGGATCTCTGTGAGTTGGAGGCCAGCCTGGTCCAAAAAGTGAGTTCCAAGTGAGTCAGGACTGTTACACAAAGAAACCCTATCTCAAAAAAAAAAAAACCAAAAAAACAATGATCTACAAAAGCATAATGAAACAGTGGGGTCAGGAGGGCCTGAGTGCGGCTGCAGGCTGTGATCCAGTACTGGGGATGTGGAGACAGGCAGATCACTGGGCTTGCTGGCTATCAGCCTAACCTGCCTTAGGTTCCAGTGACAAAACCCTGTGTACAAAAGCAAGGTCGATGGCTTCTGAGTATTGGATGACCTCTGCCCTCTATATCTCACATCCACACAGAAGAAACACTTGATGACTTGGTAAAAATTTTCACTCTTAAATTACCTATCTTGATGAAGGACATATCTAGGATATATATATTTTTTAATTTGGCAAAAGATTCTAAGAAGATAAAACTTTTAAGCATGGTAAATAATCGTAAAAAGCTAGGATTTTGAACTGGACGCTAAACATTTAAGTCATGGTTTCAGAGGGGTTTTAAGTAATGTCAAATTGAAAATAACTTTTAAAAATTTAGTTAAAATATATATCATTCTCCTCTCATGTGCTGCTCCCCTACCAAGTTCACAGCTTTCTCGTTTTTTATCCATTGTTACTACACATACATATAAACAAACATATAAATACAACCTGCTGAGTTAGTTCAGTGTTGCCTGCATGTACATGTTCCTAGGACTAACCACTTGGTACTGAATAACCAGGAGGCTCATCCTTGGGGAAGACTAATTTAATTCTTTCCCTTTCAGCTTGTAAGTCTTCATCTATGGGTAGGTCCCCCCTTCGCTGGGATGTCAACTGTTGTTGGAATTGTTCATGGCTTCTTTAGGTAGCCATGTTGAGATTTCATGGGTGTCATAGCTAGAAGACACACTTACAGCAGACTTTCTACTCCTCTGGTGCTAAAAATCTTTCCATCTCCTCTTCTGTGATGTTCTTTGAGCCTTAGATGTAGGTGTTGTGTTGTAGAGTATCATTTGGGCCTTTGACAAGTCGTGTCTTTCTATAATGATTTGCTGCTGCTGCTGCATAATGAAGCTTCTTGATGAGAGGTGAGATCTATATCTACCTGTGGGCATAAGGATAAGTATTTAGAATACAGTTAGGAACTACATTGCTTTAGGGAAGTGGTAGTTGTAGGTTCTCTAAGGTTCATGACCTTGTTAGCCACATAAGTAGTTGACTAGATTTACAGTAGCAAGCATGATTTCCTACCTATTAAGCGGGCCTTGAGTCCAATTAGCTGTTGTACTGCCAAGATAATCAACTTGAGTGCCACTACTGTCACATTAGGAATATCCTGCTATACTGGTCATTGCTGTGGCATCACAGCTGGTTAGGACAATCAGTTGCTTCCTCCCTTAGCAGCTTATATATTAACTTCCTGTACTATGAAAACTAGTCTTTAGGAAGGATGCTTTCGGGTCATTTCCAGCTCAAATCCTTTAAGGATGTGATGTCTTCAGCAATATGGACTTACCTTCAATTTCTGGGAGGCAACTAAGTAGAAATACCCTATCTTGTTTTAGGAGTCTTTTGCACTCTTCTGACCAGCAGCTTGAAAGGAGGTTTCCTATGCTTGGTACTAGGGGTTTTGTTAGATAGTCTATGGTTCTTGGTGGGGTACAATGACCCCAAGTGATATAACTTCATTTAAACTATATACATTTGTGTACATACACACACACACACACACACACACACACACACACACAGAGAGAGAGAGAGAGAGAGAGAGAGAGAGAGAGAAACTTCAGAAATATATAAAACAGCAATGCTATTAATTAAATAATTTCCTTTGTAAAAATTTTTAAGCATTCTTAAAATTTATCCCTCCTCCCTCCATCTCCTTCCGTATTGTTTTCCCTCCTCCTACTCCCCAGTTGAAGCCCCTTCCCCATTTACCCTTTGTATTACATACCATTTATCTCATTGGAGTACCCCTCACCCCACCCCCACATCCTGTTTATTTTCCTGGTTTTTGCAGTTTCTCTAGGTCAGTGGTCTCTAGGTCAATGATGCTAATGCTGTGACCTTTTAACACAGTTCCTTATGTTGTGGGGACCCCTAACCATAAAATTATCTTGTTGCTACTTCGTAACTGTAATTTTGCTACTGTATGGATCATATTGTAATTATCTGAAAAGCAGGTTGAGAACCGCTACTCTAGGTTATATATTCACATCTAAAGATTTGGAGCTAGGAATCATGGGTGTGAGAGAATATTCAGCATTTGTCTTTCTGTGCCTGGGTTACTTAACTCAGTATATTTTCTAGTTCATCCATTTACCTGCACAATCCATGAATCAGTATTTCTTTTTCTTTCTTTCCTTTTTGTTAAATGGCTGAGTTGTATTGTATTTCATTACGTATATGTACCATATTTCATTGTCCATCAGTCAAAGGCCATACAGGTTGTTTGCATTTCCTAGCTATGTGAACATTATTAAGCAAGTACTTGTAAAGTAGGATAAATTTTGGTTGTTTCGATGTTTTTATTCTGGAAGATCTACTCAGTCACCAGAATATTCTTTCCAAAAATTGCATTTTTATAGAGTGTTTTAAATGAAGAATCAATTAAAACATTTTCTTTCTGTATACCTAGATGTTTTACACCATCTACCAGTATATGTTTAAAATTCAATTCTGCGGGTCAGAGTGTGTCTCCTCAAAAGGGTGGTCAGATTCTTTGTTTGACAGCATTGCTTCTCCTAGGGATAAATGCCTTCCTTACTGGGTTAGATCTGTGTCAATGACCTGGTAAGGTTTATACTTCCAGGCCTGACTTCTGTTGGTTACTGTCTTGTTCAGGAAGCAGGACTGCCAGAGTATCCTTGCAGCACTGTCAAACAGGAGCAGCAAAGAAAATGGATTGAAGACTTGAGTAAACAAGTAGAAGATGACCAGCAAAGGAAAACAGAGGAAAAAATGATATATTCAAAGGTAACGCAGGAAGTTATGGCTTCAATGGAAGTAAGATTCCAAGTCTTTACTCACATAAACTTATAAATATTCTGAAATTGTTTGACAAATTAAGCATTTATCCTTATGAAACTGTTTTCATAGCATGAATGTGTGGTTTTACATAGCTTTTTAAAACTTTAGAAATGAATTTTTTAAAAATTCCCAAGATAGTTATCTAATTACATAAAGAATCAAAAAATGCAATTGTTAATTTTTATGATGCAGAAACTACTTTTCTTTACTTTTTGAGATTTTACTCACTTTTTTATTTGTACAGATGTTTTGCCTGCATATATGCCTGCACCACATGTGTACTGTGCCCAAGGAGGCCAGAAGAGAGTTAGGATCCTCTGGAACTAGAGGAAGGCAGTTGCTTGCTATCATGTAGGTGCTGGGAACTGAACCCAGGTCTCTTCTTGGAAGGGCAGCCATCTCTCCAGCTGATCAGTGTTTGTCATTTATAATTTTGTGTGGGAGTAGTAGAAAAGTTCTGAGCATTTCTTATTTGTCACTGTTAGGGTGAGGAACATGACAGATGGGCAATCCATTTTGATTCCTTAAAGAGTCTTCCTGGGTCTCAGTCTCGGCTGTCCTGTCAGTTAACACACCAACACCCGGAGTCGTTTTGTGTCTCTCCTGACACTCAGGAGCTGGCTGATGTCAGCAGCATTTACACACCTCCGCCTGCCATCCAGGTGGAACCTTCAGAGGAGGAACAGAGAGCCAAGCCTGTTCCAGACATGGCTGTATCACACAGTCAGAAAACAAAGTAAGTTTACTTTACATATTCAGTCCTTTAGAAAGTATGTTTGACTAGGACTGTCACTATGTCCAGTTTGTTTTAGTTTGGCATTTTTCTTTGAAACAGAAATGATTAGCAGATGTTGCTTAAGCAAAAAATGGTTAACCTTTCTGGCATTTTGAATAACTAGTGTATGCTTCACAGCTTTCTCCGTTCTATGACTGCACTCTTAGACCCAGCACAGATTGAGGAGCGGGAAAGACGCCGGTACAAACAATTAGAACATCAGGTATCACATTGTAAAACATTTCCTGTTTCCATATTGTGCCTCACATTTAAAACATTGTTCTTTGCCTTAGCAAGTCATGATGGCCAACATATACCTAAGTAATACAAAATTGATCCCCCCCCCACACACACACACACACACGCTTTAATGTAGTTTAGGCTGGTCTTGAACTTGCTATGTAGTCAAGGCTGGTCTTGAATTCTTGATCTTCTATCTCCACCTCCCAAATCCCAGGATTACAGGCATATGCCACCACACACAGCTGGAAATTCCGATATAAAATTTCAGCTTGGGTCTAATTATATCCTGCTGTAAATCTAGTCTCTTAACACAACTGGCATCATTGTTGTTATTAGGGAAGGGGGGGGGACTGGCTTCTGGGCACAGGAGCAGCAGAAAAGAGGCGGGGCATGGGGGACAGCAAGACAAGCAGAGAAGCAGAGAGAGAGATGGGAAGTGGACAGGGCCCTTTTAAAAGGGAACGTAGTGCATATGCACAGGTGGTGCTCTTAGTGGCTGCAGCTGAGGGCATATCCTGGCAGAACCCTAAGGGCAGGCCAGTACAGATGCCTGAGTACTAACAATCATATTAGAATTAAGCTTGAGCTGAGGCCCATACAGTATTATTGCCGTGTTGCCTGCCTTCTGGTGGAGCCATTAAATGAGTATGTTGTATACATGACTTTGTACTATTATTAAATATTGGCTACTTCCTCAGAGTTCTGTCAGGGTCTTTGAATGAAAACATGCAAAAAAAATCAAAACAATCTAGTAGGTAATATAGGGCTGAGATTAAAACTCTTTTATCAGGCTAACATAGAGGGACAATGGTCTGAGTGACTTTTGTAGTTCTCTTTTGTCTAAAGGGTTTGTGTGTTGAAATGAGCCCTTGCCATGTTACTAAGATGTGGCTCAGGCATTTTCTTACCTAGTCTTCTGAGTAACAGGTGCCACAGATACGCACTCATCACTGTTCCCAGCACAGATAAGACCCTCAGTACATAGCAAACACTGTTACGAGCACAGACTCAGCACACAGCGCTGTGCCTGGGCCAGGTTCAGCATTTCTTTTAAACAGTTTGTGAGTAATTTGGCCCAGTTAATTTTCTTTTTTGAACTCATTGAAAAGCTGAGAGCATCTCCCATTTATCAATCAATGTGGTGAGTACTGTGATTAGTTGATTCTGTGATACACATGCCACACAAGTACAATTCTAACCCCCACTCCATTGTATGTGTAACTGATAAATTGTATCCTTTCATCAAAACCAGTGCTTGTGACAGTAACTTGTAATTATTTATGACTAGAAAGCAATCATGGCTCAGGTAGAAGAGAACCGCAGGAAGAAGCAGCTGGAAGAAGAACAAAGAAAGAAGGAAGAACAGGAAGAGGAGCAGCGCTTGGCTCGGGAACGGGAAGAGATGCAGAGGCAATATGAAGAAGACATTCTTAAGCAGAAACAGAAAGAAGTAGGTGTCCGTATCATGAAAGTAACGAAGAGGGTGGGTGTCTGCACGTTTTGAATTGTGCAGCTCATGTGTGGAGACATTACAGCTAAGGAAAGGGAGACTTGGCAGGGTCACACCCTCACATGGTCCAGATCTCAGATGCTGCACGCTTGGCCTATTAATGAGAGATGGCCAGGGTGAATGCAACACCAAGCTTCAGGAGTAGATATATACAACCTACTAATAATTCTAGGTATTGGGCCCACAGGATGGCTCAGCAGGTAAGGGATTTTGTCAACCAGTACCTAGAACCCATGTTTCAGGGGAGGATTTGAAAAGCTGACTTCTGACCCCCACTGTGGTACAACATTACCACCTCCCCACCCCTAAGTAAATCTAAAGTAATAATGATTCTAGATATTAAAAGAGTAATGATTGGTTGGGATTGCTGATGAAATTCCTAGCTTGTTAAAGGCTTCTATTAGGCTCAGTAATAGTCTTTACAAAAGTTGATGTCTTCTTGTCAGCAAAGCCCTCCGTATTGACTCATAGGGTAGGTGAGGTGGTCCAAGTGCTGTGTCTGAGCTGAGCTGACAGAAGAGCAGATCGCCTAGTGCTATTTCAGTTGTCAGCTTTAAAAACACCAAGTCTGTACTTCGTTGCCAGTTTTTACTTGGTCTTTCAAAAATGGGATGTGAAAAGGTATGATTTGCACTCCAGTTTCATTGAGTAGACAAGAGACAACCGGCATAGTGGTGATGCATACCTGTAATCCTAACATTTGGGAGTTCAAGGGCAGCCTGGTCTACACAGAGAGACCCTGTCTAATAGCAAGAAAAAAACACGTTAGAACTGTTATCTCTAAAAGGCCCTATTGACTGTTCTTCAGCTGATATCTAGACCAGCGTCTGCTATGTAGGGAAAGCTTGAGCATTTGTACTGAATGGGAACAGTCACTTACTTCACTGAATGTGCTTGTTAATTGTTTTACTGTGTATGTCAATCTTGATAGGAAATGATGACTCTAAAGACAAATGAGCTATTCCACACAATGCAGCGAGCTCAGGAGTTGGCACAGAGACTGAAACAAGAGCAGAGGATCCGAGAACTGACTCAGAAAGGCCATGATGCCTCCAGGCTGATTAAAAATCTTGGCTGTAAGTGATTAATCAGAATTTTATTTACAGTTTTGGTTTTGAAGATGGTTTTAAATACCTCTCTAAATCCTTAGGAACACACATTAACTAGATATTTTTAAAGGGACAAAAGCTTTTCACCCAAGCCATCTTTAATAGTTTAGAAAGCTGCCCTGAAACATTACATGTTGCAGTATCTTTTTCACAAAAATTTTCACAGTAAGGGGCTGGAGAGATGCCTCAGCGGTTAAGAGCACTGACTGTTCTTCTAGAGTCCCTGAGTTCAATTCGCAGCAACCACATTATGGCTCACAACCACCTTGATAAGATCTGGCATGCAGGCAAAAGACTATATACATAATAAATAAAATCTTTAAAAAAAATTTCACAGTAATCCTGACATAGGTACAATGTGTACTTTAATGTTCATTCTTTTAAATTCATTAAGGCCTAAGAATATAGGTAACTTTTAATAGTAAATTTAGGCTACACTGTAAGTCTAGCCTTTAAAAATTTTTCCTACAGTTTATGGTGATTAAGTCACGAAGTCTTTTACCGGTACTGTACCTTTGTCTTTCAGTGCAAGGGCTCATACCCAGGGCTTTGTGTGCTAGGCAGACACTGTTGCCCAGCTGTATCCCTAGCCCCACATGGAGTCTGTTAGTATTGTACATGTCACTTTAAGGTCTGTTTCTCTCTGCTATTTGACACAGCACAAATGGATTATAAGGCATCCACTAACATTTCCAGTTCAAGAAGTGATGCTGAGGAAGCTGCTGATGAAACAAGTGCAGCTGCTATTTCCGCAGCCTCTCCCAAGAAGGACGCTGGAGTTCAGACAGGTATTCATGTAAAGTATTTTATTGTTTTGTTTCATTTTCAAAGTGAAGACACCTGAGGATTTTTGTCTTTGCAACAAGGTCTCTTGTAGACAAGGGTAACCTATAACTAATTTCTGCCCCAACCATTGGAACACTGGGATTACAGTTATGGAGCACTATGCCTCTTTTATGTGACACTGGAGAGTGAGCCCAGGATATAGTGCATGCTAAGCAAGTGCTTTACCAAACTAAGCTATATCTCTACCTAGAAATTTGAGGTTTTTAACAAAATAAAGGGATCTCTTTTCTTTGTAGTTTTAGGGAAGCACTTGAACAGTTAGCTAAATATCTAGCCCAGATCTTACCCATTTGATGCTATTTGTTGCATAGGAACTCACTATGGAGACCAGGCTGGCTTGGAGCTCTCAGAAATCTTACTGCCTCTCCCTCCCAAGTTCAACTATTAAAGGCAAGCACCACTATGCCAGCTCTGTTTGTTTTTAACATGCACATACTTGTGCAGTTACCATCACAATTTTAGAACCATTTCAGTATTCAAATTTATTTTCCATGGAAGATGTTTTTTAAAAATATGGACATCACCAGTTTGCATGTCATCCTTGCAAAGAGGCCATGCTAATCTCATTCGTTTTAGTGTTTGTGGATTGGAATTGAGCACAATACTCAATAAGTAACTCATAGTGACTCTTAAGCTCTCTCCAGTTCATTGTGTCTTAGAATATTTGCCTGTTGTGTACTTTTAATGTAACTGGAATTATGCTGTAAGTGCTCTTTAATGTCTGGCTTACTCTGACTTTCAGCATGACATATGGGTTTATCCATGTTGTGGATCTTTATTCATCTATGCAGATGAATAAAGTTAGGCCTGTTTTATATAGTGGAATTAGCCTAAAGAAATTCTGACATGTTTCTAACTAACATGGTTATAAACTCTAAGAATTTTATACTACTTGAATAAGCCAGTCTATCACTTTTATTTTTTTGATAGTGTCTGGGCTGGGCTGGAACTTGCTCCCTGGAACTCTGTAGGCCAAGCTGGCATTGAACTTGTTCCAGTTCTCTTGTCTTGGATTGCTAATTGTTGGGGTGATAGGTTTGTAGCACAGGGCTCTGTGTTTATATGGACTGTTTAGAATAGTCATTTCTAGACTATAAAAGCAAAATAAGCAGCTTCTTTTAAAGAGGATAATTAGCAGTTCTTTAATGAATAGTTTCATTTTGAGTATTAAATTCTTAGGGATGGAAGAATAGCACAGCAGGTAAAGGAGATTGCCACCAAGGTGGGGGACCTCCGAGTTCCATCCTTGTTCACATGGCAGAAGGAACCAATTCTCACAAGTTGTCCTTTGTCTCCCTGTGCATACCATGTGGCATGTCCCACCACCCTAAATAAACAAATGCAACTAATCAGGTCATTAAGTATCTTTGAGAAAACTATATTTCTACCATGCTTTTAAAATTAATCATTTGTATTTTTATTTAGATGATTTAAATTTAGGAATTTTCAATGATGCACTACCATGCTGTGGATCACTAACAGAGAGGGACATTAGAAACTCTTCTCTAGAGATTTCTGCAGAATTTAATGGACAGATCAGCACTAAAAAAGACAAGCAAGAACTAAGTATGGATAAAGGCACTAATTTAGACAAAGAAAACAGCTGGCATAATAACCAGTGTAATCAGTATCGAAGACCAGAGAAACAGAAACTTATGAAGAAATGTCCTAAAAGGCCTGCTTGGAATATAAATAAGCCTCTCAAAAGATATGTTCCTGCATCAGCAAAGTACCCTGTCCATCTCCAGAGGGAGAAAGAAGAAAAAAAGGTAAGAAGGCAGATGGAGCTGCTTCACCTAATAGAAAAAAACAACCGTGAGAACCTCTCCCAAAATAGACACACTTCACCAGAAGTTGCTTCATCTCATCGAGAAACTGAGTCAGACATCAGGTTGCATCTAAGCAAAAAGGTAAGGCTCTTTTATTTGATTACTAAGTTTGTATTAATGTTTCTGAACTCAGTAGTTACCCAAATCCATGCTTTCAGAAGGCTATGGTTCATCTATGTAGGCTATAGAAAATCATGTTAGAGGTCAGAGATCATACTTGTTAATATAACCTGTCTGTTATGTAACACCAGAACTGAGTAGCTACATCAGAGAGTGTAGCCCTAAATGCCAAATACCCTTTATGCAGATGAATGCTTCTATATGCAAATGCATATGAAAATGTCATACATAAAATGAAATACTACTTACATGTAAAGAAAACCAGCCCTATCTCAAAAAAAAAAAAAAAAGAAAAGAAAAGAAAAAACAAAAACTTATAATTTAGCAAGCATACAATTTAGGAGACCAAAAATAATAGGCGGTTAAAGGATGGAATGTAGCAGGATACATAAATCCTGAATGAAGATATAAAGCTTTTTTTTATGGTGAACAAGTAAATAAAATCATGGTAGTGAGTATAAAACCCAAAACAGAGTCAGGTGTGATGGGGCATGTCTTTAATCCTACCACTCTGGAGATCGCTAGGGAGTATGAAGCCAGCCTGATCTGCATAGGAAGTTCCAGAAACCCTTCTCAGAAAACAACACAACAAAAAAACCAAAAACCTAAGCAAAGATCTGGAATGGTCATCCTAACTTAAAAGTTCACTGTGATGTAGCATTTTGGGCTGACCATTTTTTTGACTGCCTTCCTTTAAGTAACTGTATGAAGTTTTTGTGAGTTAATTATACTGTGTAAAACTCATATATTTTGTCCATGTAGAAATAATTCCTGGCTTGGTCCTGGGACTATACTGTATCCCATACAATATTCTTATTTAGATATGCCCAGATTATTTAAGCTTGTGTGAGAAGTTGATGAGAAAGCTCAGTAGGTGAAGGTGCCTGCCACAGAGCCTGATAAGGTTATCAGGGTTGAGTCTGAGACCTGTGCTACCAGGACAGAAGCAATTCTAAGTTGTCTTCTGACTTGCATGTATACATTCATGCACACACATACACAATGTTTTACAAGTATCTGGGGACATGTGAAAATGTCACTACTCCATGTTTGCTTGTTTTATCCATCTTTTAGGTAGAAGAACCTCTGAAAACTCCTTCAGTCATTAAAGAATGGTATGTGTATTACTTCCTTATCTACTTAGTGTTTTGTGTGGGGGGGGGGCGGTGACAAAATACCCATTCAAAATTTGCATGACAGTTCCATGTGCAGATGAAGGCAATAACAGGAAAGAGGTATGGCTGGCTTTCATTGATTTAGTAAAGGTTTAATATAGAGTGGTTTTTAGCTGGACTGGCCTAAGCTGGTTTGACTTTTCCATGTCTATCAATACTGGAATAGACAGTATTGGATAAGTCAGATAGGAAAATAATAGACTGCTTAAAAACAGTTCTTTTAAACAAAAAAGAAATCCAGTTAATTAGGTGGGAAGTTTAGACTGGTCAAATTTTTATTCTTTATCTTTGTGCATAAACCAAACTGGTTTTAGACTTGTCTCAGAACTCTTAACATAACTTTAGTTTAGATAGCACAGGCATACCTTCATGGTAAATCATGTAAAGAGAAATGAGGTTAAACCCACCCAATGTTGACTCTTAGAATCGAACAGTTTAAATTAAATGCTCCCCTGTGTGGGTATATCTCCATTGTCCTATTTCATGAAAAATTATAGACCTTAGATTATTATATATAGTATTTAAGGTAGACCAGGCAAATCTAGGATGAAGTGCAATGTGGTTAGATATGTTTAAAACATGCGATTTCTAGGGGTCAGAGAGATGGCTCAGCAGTTAAAAGCACTGGCTGTTTACTCTTCCAGAGGACATGGGTTCAGTTCTTAACACCCACAGGGTGGCTCTCAACTATCTGTGGCTCTAGTTATAAAAATATGCAATTTCTTATTAAAGTTTGGGTTTTTGTTTTTGTTTTTAATAGGCTTCAGTCATCACCAGCAGTAAACAGTAGAACTCAACAAACTCAGACTAATTCATTACACTTACCATTAAAAAATAGTGACTTTGAAAAAGAGAGTCTGACCTTAGGAGATGGTCAAACAAAATTATCAGATGACATGTCTGAGATACCTCATTTTATTCCCTACGTTCGAACAAATGAGATCTATTATCTTGATCCGGATGCACCCTTGTCTAGGCCTCAAACCCAGGACTACCAATACCAAAAATCTCGTGGTCAGTTGAGTAGCATTACTATAAAAATTGAAGATGAGTGGCTAGAGAGATGGCTCAGTGGTAATGGGCTCCTATTGCTCTTTCAGAAGTTTGGTTCCCAGCACCCACATTAGGTGGCACAATGCCACCTAACATCTCCAGCACCAGGTGATTCAAGGCTTTTAGCCTTCACAGGCAGCAGTACTCATGTACACACATAATATAACTTAAAAACAAAAAATTAGTGAACTCCCAACCCTAAATGCTTCAACATTAGTCTATTAAAGATTTAACACACTACAGCTATGACTTTTTTAAACCTTTACAGCTAATTACTAATAATTTGCTTGACTATTTTAAACCTTATCTGTCCTTCAGATTGTGACCAGCAAGAGCTATTTGACTCTGACCATACCAGGGATCCACTTCTTAATCCTAAATTGGTGAAAAACAGGGATCGACAGCAAGCTATCCTTAAGGGGCTTTCAGAACTAAGACAGGTATGAGCTTTTCACCAAGTAAATTTACATGCTTGTTCTCTCTATATGGTGGCAGTGTTTGTATCCTAAGAATGAAAGTCCCGAGACAGTTTGGATATTAAGACAATTTTTATTTAAAAATATGTACATTTAAACATCAAAACACAATAAAGTGCTAAAACCAAACAAAGAAACAAATACACAGTTATGTTTTAGTGAATTTTAACCAATATGGTCCATTTTTTTTTTTAAAGATTAGAACAGAATAGATCTGTTCCAAGAATGAAGTTATATACATGGAAGTATTCACCAGACTTTTCCCCATTCCTGTGATTTTTACATAAGCTTTTTATACAGGCAAAAATAAAACCCAGTAATGTGCTGAAACCTATCCAGGAGCCTATTACATTGTATATAAGAAGAATTTGGCTCATGTGTTGCTTACCTTTTATTATTCTACCTAAAGCTAGAAAACTACCCCTGCTCATACTCATTTACTTGTATCCTTTAAGTGCTACCTCTGCTTACATACAGCTTGACTCAACCTTGGTAACCTCACAAAAAGGAACAAGAGAAAGGAGTGTGATGTCCACACTTCACCATAACTCTTACACTGTTTCAGCAGAGCTAAGATAAACAGTGGGGATATTAAGACTCTCATTGTGTCTTCTCATGATATTAAGAGCACTTGAGAGTGGATTTCAAATCCACAGTTGCAGTAATTTTAAAAGAAATCATCCTTGTTGCTTTTATAGTAGAAAACACTCTAGCTAGGTAACACCCAAAGAAGGAGGTCCACTATAACAATTCTATCCTGAGCTCAGTAATTTTTCTTTATCATGTATTTAAGTTGACTATACACCTTCACTAAACTATCAATGTGATTGCAGGGTCTTCTCCAGAAACAAAAGGAGTTGGAAACGAATCTCATACCCTTAACTGCAAACCAAGAAGATAATTTTAGTTCTTCATTTTAAATATGCTAACCACTCAACTGCGTTTTTCAAGCACCCAATGACAAACTTCATGTGTAGAAAAATGCTGTATTTTTTTATATATAATAAAACGGTTTACAGTTAGAAAAAAAATCTCTGTCATACTAGGGTGTAAAAGTACTTTCTACTTACCATAACAGAGTCTGGAGATCCCTGATCTGTTAACAGTGTTGCTAATTTGTTCTGTAAGAATTTCACTGAGCTAGACTCTTTAATGAAACAACTCAAATTCATTTTAGAATCCTGTGGTTTTTCTTTTCTGTAAATTTTGTTTTCATTGTATTAAAAGTGGAGATGCCCCAGTTTTCACAATATTGAAGATAACAGTAACAGTAAGCAACAGATATAAGTTATATAAGGGCTTAAAATTTATCTCCACCATAGTTTTTGTATTGATTTAATATAGCACTAAAGTGCCTAACTAGTTCTTAATTTAGACCACCTCAAAGACCTATTTCAAATTATCTAATGCCAGTGAAAACCAAAGCCCCATTTTTAAAAGTTCATTTGATTGACTATAGGATCACACAAAACGGTATTTATCAAGGATTTCAAAAGGCTGACCAAAATTTAAGTGAAGTTAAATTTTTACATAGTTAAACCTAAAGATTGAAAAAATTCGACTTGGTATTATGGACATAGGTTTACTACCTAAAATGCAACTGCACTGTAGGTATAGCTTGAGGTATTGAGCCAAAATCCTGTAAATATTGACACTGCTGGCTTATACCTGTGTAAAAACACTATACAAAAAGCTTTAATCAAAATAAATAACTGACATTTCAGCAAATTTAGTTATCATCTGACATTAAAGAAAGTCATTACTATTTACCATTCTTTTATAAACATCAAATTTTACATATAAAACAGACTTCAATTTGAAGCCCAAGTACAGGTAACATAAAACTGAAAGGTGCCAACATGAGTTAATCTGATTACAGTATGTCCAAAAAATATATTTACTTTAATTTTCCGATGTGACATATGGTACAGACCACCATGATTTATAAGTGGGGGTAAAAAAAAAGACATTAGGAAACTTGTTTTTAAATCATCAATTCACTTTTAAGAAACTAAAAAAGTCCACGACAACCTTATTTTTTTTCTTTTTTTGAGTCATTGTAATTTTATCTTTGGACACATCCTTAACTTAATGGAGATTTCTCTCTATCTGAGGTTTTGTAAACGGAAAAAAAGTAATTTTCATTTTCTTGAGACTGAGTTGATGAAAGGGTATATGGTGTCCCCAGAAACGTCTGATGAGTGAGAACATTAAAATGACTAAACTGATGGGACATTTTTAATTGATTTTGATAAGCCTGAACGTTGCTATATGAATCTTGTTCTGCTGAATTGCTGTTCTCTCCTTCAGAGCGTACTCTATCAATAGGAGCTCTCTCTTCACAATCAATTTGGTAAGTCTTATCTTCTAATAAACTGTTTTGCACGTCAAGAGATGACTGCAATTCAATTTGAATATTCTTTTTTTGATCTGTTCCACTGGATCCTTTGGTTTCTCTCGCCAATATTTCTGAATGAAAACTGCTGAATACTTCTATATGTGAGATTTCATCCCCTGAATCCAGAGACATATCCTCTTCATCCTTTTCACCGTTTTCTAAAAGAGCTACATTTAAAAAACAAAAAGCCCTCCTCTATTGAAATACACAATTTGTTTAGTTTGTAAGATTATACACTACTCACACAACATAGTGCGTCAGGATCTGCAAAGTCCACAATCCCTTAAAGCTTGGTCTTCTGCCACAAGTTCACTTAGTCACAACACTCACACTAGGTATGAGTGTCTGGATAATCCGATGCTAAAAGCTTCTGCGAAATGTGTTCACGTTTAATGTTGGGAAATCCCAACTCCCAGCTCCAAAGGGGTTAATGTCAAAACAGCATCTAAAGTTATACGGTAATTCAGTATTTCATAAGACAAATATAAAATAAAACTTCTGACATGTAGCTTCACTGAATTACTAAACTGGTTAACTCTACTGAATGCTCAGTCATCTCTGCTTTTTGCCAAAAATAATTTAAGAAAAACTTTTATTTTAAAGTCTGGAACCAAGCAGAGGCCATCTCACAGAAGACTGATGGTAAGATATCCTTACAACCTTGTATTAAATAGCACATACATCCGAAGACCTTTCGTAGCCCAACAATCCCTCTATCTGCCTCCCTTAATAAAAACTGACAGCAAACAGCAGGCAATAAAGCTTATATACCCTCAGAGGGAAAAATCATCCTTTAAGCATGTGCTGTCATGGAACAGACGAATGAATGCATAGCCTATACTAACAGCTTATACTGACTACAGTATAATAAATGGGTAGATCTTATATATACTAAGTTCTAAGGTGATGTCTGTTATTGACACTGAAGGTAAATGGTTTCAATAAAACATTTCACTATTGGATAAACAAAACCTCTTTCTGCCTCACCTAAAAAAAAAATGAAAACTACTAAAAAGTTACCTGACTGTGACTCAAGAGTCTCATTAGCACCAAGCAGCGGAAGATTTTCTTCTGTGACTGAGTTGTGATATCCCACAAGACTTTTAAAGTTGTGCATAAAGTCTTCAGCTGTTGCAACTACAATTCCATTATCTGTATAACTGGAAACCATCTTGATAGTCTTCTCTAAATTAAAAAAAGAAAATGTAAATAAACTGATACCTACTGTCAACAAAATCCTTTCCACCATATATTCAGAATTATAATTTAACACCCACTCCAGCCCTCTGAAATTACTTCACTCATACTCCCATATCAGCAAGAGCAAGCTCCTACCTGTTAGAAAGACTATGTGTCGCTGCTGTATATTCTGAGCCTGAAGCCTAATAAGGCAGTCCATTTCTGGAGCATTTCGAGTTTGTGAATCACAGTTGTGGTATGACAAAATCTCAACCAGATGTTTCTTCTGATATACATTTAGAAGAGACAGCAGACTCAGAGCTTTAGTATTCAATCTGTGAGATTAAGCTGAGTTCAGTATCTGGATATTGGCATTTTAAAATTCACTACGGAAATTTCTGCTTCAGTTAATTAAAAGCACTTCTTGGCTGAGGAAACTAATAACCACAGCAAGCTGGGGCTTACTATTTAATACACTGGTTAAGAGAGAAGGAAAACTGGATCTGACAAGCATGTTTTGGGAGGAGGAACACCTTTTAATTCATTTAGGCTAAAACCTGGACCAGTCATTCTATTTACTAAATTATTCTTAGCTTTAATCTTAAACTTTAAGAACATTAAAGAACAAAAAAAGTTGGGTATTTTGGGCACAGTGGTATATGTCTATAATTGCAGCACTTCAGGAGGTGGATAGCCTAGATATATAGACAAATAGACAAATAGAGTATAATTCTTCCTAACATGTGGCTTTTAAGCTATTTATAATACTCCAAGGTAGAAACTGGAGATACACCTTTGGGTGAGTTATGTTCTACACTATATATGAACTTAATACTTGCCCTTTGCTTATTTTATAGGCTGTGAAAATGACTAAGTCTAAAAAAGTTCAGTATTAGCCAAGTGTACATTACAACTTTTTTAATTCCAGCATTTAAGAAGCTGAGGAAAGATTTTGAGTTTGAAGCCATTCTGAATTATATAGTGAGACTGTCTCAAAAAGATAAAAGTATTTTAACTACTATACATAATCAAACACCGGAAATCTTTAACCCTGAATTTTAAGACTCATAGAATGTTAACGGGTGTTATGGCAATCAAAAGACCTGTGACCTAGACTAATTGTGGTGGTATATGCTTTTAATCCAGTACTTTGGAGGCAGAGACAGAAGGACTGCCCATGAGTTTAAGGCCAGCCTGGTCTACAAAGTGAATAGCAGGGTAGCTGGAGTTAAATCAACTTTCAAAAAGTAATTGGGAACTGGAAAAAGAAAAAAAAGGCTCAGTGAGCAAGAGCACTTGCTCTGCAAACATGAGGATCTGATTCACATCCACAGAACCCACACAGCTGGATGCATCTACAATCCCAGCATGGGAAACAAAGACTGGCAGTTCTTGAGAGCTCCAAAGCAAACTGTAGTTGATATGGTGAGCTTCTGGTTCAGGGAAAGACCCTGTCTTAAGTCAATTAAGGTGGAGAAAAAGAGGAACACAAATGACATCCTGCACTGGCCTCTACTTGCACAGGTGAGTGTACTCCACAAGCTCATGGCTCCACACACAAAATTTTACGACTTAACATTTATGTTATGAAGACACTGTACTAACAATATACAGCATTTCCAACATACTATACTAACTGTTCATGGAGCTTTTTAAGTAACTAGTACTCAGAAGAAGTAATGTCCAGACATGCTAGAAACCACACAAACATACATATTATAAATCAGCGTTCTAATGGAACTTGTCAGACTGAGATCAATCTTTGACTATTTGATTAGTTACCTAAAGTACATACTTGGCACAGGGTCAGATTTAGACTGCAAATACAGATAGATCAGTTTTTACAATGATAAAATGTGTCGTCTATATCACAACCCTTCTTAAGGCTTGGAGAACTTATGTAAAACAGGGAGCAGAAGAGCCAGATATTGTAGAGTACTGCTTAAAAACTCCCTTTGGGGGCTGGAGAGATGGCTCAGTGGTTAAGAGCACTGGCTGCTCTCCCAGAAGACCTGGGTCCAATTACCAGCACCCATGTGGCAGCTCACAACTGTCTATAACTCCTGTTCCAGGGGGATCCAACATCCTCACACAGACATACATGCAGCCAAAACACCAATGTACAGAAAATACAAAACAAAAACAAAAAACTTCCTTTTGGACTTTTAACAAGGGTGTTTTACTCAAAAAATGCACAACAGCTGGTGTTGCCTACCCAAGACTTGCACAAAATCAAGGCAGCCAAAATTCCAGCATGGGTAGGGAAGATAATTATGAGGTCTTACCCCTAGCTGAGGAACAACTGGCAGCTGATAGTGGTCTGGTAAGTGGGTCCTGCTCTACTGGGCAGCCTAATAAAATAGTAGTGCATGGGCAACAGTAATTAGACTCAGTGGGTTATAAAAGAAAAAAGAGGACATAGAGGATATGGTTAAGTGGAGAGGTCTGAGAAGAGTTGGCTAAAGAGTAGATATGACCAAAATACATCGATAATACAAAGAGTAAATTAATATATTTTTAAAAGGCTTGAAATGTAGCTCACAACATGTGCTTCAAATCTAGAATCACAGAAAATAAGAAAATTTCTGATCCTTGTGATTATGCAGACCCAGAAGCAGATTAAATCAATTCTAACTATAAGAACTTCACCAAATTGTCTATGTCAACAAGAATACCACTTCTTCATTAAGGGAAATGGAGTATTCATTATTAATACACATTTATTGTCTGTTGACATACATGAAAACTTCATAATCCACAAACCCAGAAAAAAGGAAAAAAGTTTGTGAGCACAATGTTAAAAATCAACAATTGTGCAGTATTTTCTTTATCATACCTGCCCAGTTCCTTCAGTTTCTTCTGGAATTTACAGTGGATTTTCCATTGCCATTTTCCTTCTGGAGTACTAAGTTCTTCAAGGAATGCCAAAAAAATTTTAAGGCTCTCTGTTAGGAACAATGAAATTAAGATTTTAAAGTCAGTATTAGTCTATGCCATACCTAAGTTTTTGAAAAATCTCTTATTCACATTTATATAGATTATTTTCTATGTAGCATGTACTCATCATCTTGCACTGAGGGAAAAGGGAACTCCTTATAGCCTTAAAACTCTTTTATAAACACCTGCAAACAAAACAAATATCCAATAATAATACCACCACCAGAGTAATCCAAGTGCCACAGCAGGCAGTGTAGACCAGATTTGCATGAAAGCATATATAAAGACAGAATGGAGAAAATAGAGGTGGCAAAAGCTCAGGAAAAGATAGAAATAACCCAGTTAGCTATGAGTGACACAACAGGTGTCATTTTTTAATCACTTAGTTTTAATATTCCCTGAAAACCCAAGGCACCCATAACCCAGACATAACATGCTGAAAATAACACTCATTCTTACCAATTGTGACAACCTCTGGATTTAGAATTGATTCATCAGACACAATAACGCCACCAGACACAAATAACTCATTGTATGTATGATTTTTAACATCATCCAGGCTATCAACACCGGCAAAGCTAACACATGGGAGCTTCTTTAAAGTCACCAAGCCAGGTACCTGTTAAACCAGAAATAGGATGGATAAATATAACCTAAAAAAAAAGTTTAAAAAAATACATTATTACTCGACAGGCGTTGGTGGCGCATGCCTTTAATCCCAGCACTCGGGAGGCAGAGGCTAGGTGGATCTCTGTGTTTGAGACCAGCCTGGTCTACAAGAGCTAGTTCCAGGACAGCCTCCAAAGCCACAGAGAAACCCTGTATCGAAAAACCAAAAACAACAAAAAAACATTATTACTCATCATTGCCTCTAGATAGTCACAAAACTAATATTTGAAGTATTACTTCCCAATAATGTAAACCAATATGCATGAACAGAACACTAAGGGAAAGGAGTTTACATTAGACTGAAAACACAAAATGGATAAAATGCTAATGTATCTTTAAACCTATAACCAGCCAGATTTCAAAACCAGGAGCCAGGTGTCATCCTATCTGAGATGTGGAGGAAAGATTAGGAGGCCAGCCTGAGCTACACAGGATACTGTCTTTAAAAAGGGGATGGAGTAGGGAGGTGGGAGGAGAGCCAAGGTGCTAGAATATTACTAAAAGGCTGATTTTTTTTTAAAGATTTTATTTATTTATTATGTATACAACATTCTGCTTCCATGTATATCTGCACACCAGAAGAGGGCACCAGACCTCATAACAGATGGTTGTGAGCCACCATGTGGTTGCTGGGAATTGAACTCAGGACCTCTGGAAGAGCAGTCAGTGCTTTTAACCTCTGAGCCATCTCTCCAGCCCTAAAAGCCTGATTTGAAGAGGACAAAATACCTCCAAATCCAAGGTAAATGGGGACTCATGGAAAAAAAAAAAAATTGTCTAGACATACATATGTAGATAACAGTACGAAGAGTTAGCAGAACTAAAGAATCCAGCACATCTATTAATCTTATCTAAATGACAGGGAAGACTCATAACACACAACTTCACATATACAATTCTCACAAACTGGCTCCTGGACAGATACTTAAGTTTTATCTTTATTTTTAAAAAAAGTTCTGTTCTCAGAATAAGATTTAACAATGGTTTAGTTTTAGAAAACAAACCGGTGAACTGGACTTAATAGCCTACCTTGTGAATGAAATCTGCAATGTCTTCATTTTGAATAATAATCAATAGTTTATCTAAGGTCGATCTTCTTTCCAAAAACTGATCTGGATGACATTCTGTATTGCCTAACTTGATAAGATACTCCTGTCAAAGAAAAACAATTAAGTCAACATTAACAAACTTTACCAAACCAATTTCCAATCCAACAGTAAACGTGAAATATAAGCTAATAAGCTTTATCTAAATACTATGAACTTTCACTTTAGAAGACTGGCGAGTTCATCATATCCCAACAATTAGTCCAGATTCTTGACCCACTTACCTCAATTATGGTAAACCCAGGACCTAATATTAGCCACTCCCTGTTTCCACTTTCCTTTCCTTAGGCTGGCTCTTAGGGATCTTTGACAGTATTACCAGAAATATTTCCCTTCAGAGCATGGGTGTCACCACTGCATATTATTTAATCCAAAACTCAAAAAGAATTCATGTGGCATTTTCGGTATGAGCAATGGTGACACAGACCATGTAAGGTCAGCTCCCAGATCCGAACCAGGGTAATAAAGAGAAAGCCTTAAAGTAGCGAAACTTAGGAAAGATTCTTTTTTGTTTTGTTTCTCAAGACAGGGTTTCTCTGTATTGCTTTGGAGTCTGTCCTAGAACTCTGTAGACCAGGCTGGCCTCGAACTCAGAGATTCGCCTGCCTCTGCCTTCTGAGTGCTGGGATTAAAGGTGTGCACCACCAATGCCCAGCAGGAAAGATTCTTATCTGAGGGTTGTCAGACTTTTCTATCTGATGAAAAATAAGACAATAAATAAAAATAAAATAAAAATAAACAAGCACACTTTCTGCTGGTAACCTAAGAAAAAAAGGAACAAGCACATGCTTTCCTGATGGTAACCTTCTTTTACTTCTACTTAAATGATCTCTTGACAATCTCTTTACATACATACATCTCTCTTCTGCCCAGTTACATAGTTCTATATTCAGCTGCAACATCTGTCTATGTACTGTTACATATTTCTCTTCATATACATGTTCAATCTCACATCCACACTCATTTACTCATACACATACTTCTTTTATATTATTCATTCACTCTTTACTCACTCTTTCACCTATTCACTTCCTCACACTTCTCTCATGGTCATAGGAAATCCTTGAAGAGCTCCCTTATATATTGCTTGCTGGCCAAACCCTGAGCCCTAAAGCAAAGTGCATGATCCTGAAATGACACTCTTCATTCCAAAGACATAGGAGATTATTTTCTCTATATTAGCAGAGCTTGTCAGATAGCATAATCTAAACCCTGCTGGCTTGACAAGTGGTAGGCCACCTGTCAAGACAACATTTTTGCATAACTCAAATGTGGGGCAGCATTTTCCACAATGCCTTCAACTCTGAAGATTTTAGGAAGATCTCAAACTACGTTTTAGTTTATTAATGAAAAAGTAAATTATCTGACAGGACTGATGGTGACTGTGCTCACTTTACATTTCTAAATTCAAAATTCAAATTGTTCTGAATACTATTGCTTAACTGATATAGTAACAAAACAGTTTGATTTCAGAAATATTTAGTAGTTTAAATTGTTATTAGAACCTTTTACCCTAAGTTTTAGCAAGAAAATTCCCACTGATTAAAAGAACCAGGAATAGCATTCATAAAGCAAAGCCAGGTAGATCGCTGAGATTGAGGCCATCCTGGTTTGTCTATATATGAGTTCAGGATAGTAAGGGCTACCCTGTTTAAAATAACAATAATGTTCCAACCTAATTTTTCATAAGATTTGAAAGAGATTAATTTCTTACTCCGTATAATAATAACTTACACCATAATTCAAAGCACCATTCATAGAGGGTTGTATTTCCTATCTCTTCAATACAGATGTCACATGGGTTAACAATCCAGTTTTAAAAAGGGAGAATTACACTGTGTTCAACTTAACTCTCTTGCTAGTACTACACCAACATGCAACTATGTCCAGAGTTCTGTGTTAGAAATGTGTTTCTTGCCGGGCATTGGTGGCGCACGCCTTTAATCCCAGCACTCAAGAGGCAGAGGCAGGCAAATCTCTGTGAGTTCGAGGCCAGCCTGGTCTCCAGAGCGAGTGCCAGGACAGGCTCCAAAGCTATACAGAGAAACCCTGTCTCAAAAAACCAAAAAAAAAAAAAAAAAAAGAAATGTGTTTCTAGAGTTGGGGGAAAGTTCAGAAGCCCTATATGTTCAATTACAGAGGACAAAGATGCAACCAAGTCTCTTCATCTTCCTAAGAAAACATAAGGAAAGCACAACACTGCTATGCATCCTTTTAATACCATCTCAATGCTCTTCATCTATTATTTGGGATACCACATCAAACAAGCTAACCTTGTTTAGCTTGAGATACCTTAGAAGGGCGGTGGTGATGCACACCTTTAATCCCAGCACTCAGGAGGCAGAGGCAGGCGGATCTCTGTGAGTTCAGGCCAGCCTAGTCTTCAAAGAGAGTTCCAGAACAGTCTCCAAATCTACGGAGAAACCCTATCTCGGAAAAAAAAAAAAAAAACCAAACAAAGATAAATGGATGCGTTTGTTATCAATACTGAGTTTCTGAATTATTTAGTGTTTTGAGTTATTTATAGTCCCTCTGCTTCCTCTAACAAAACACACAGAAACTCCAGTCACAATAAGAGTCCATAAATGGGAACAAGCAGTTACTTCAAAATCCCAAGATCAAATACCTGAAATAGTATTCTATAGCTTTGAAAGTCTTTAAGGAGCATAAGTTTTTTTGTTTGTTTGTTTGTTTTTTTTTTTTTTTATTAAAAGCTGTGACATGGTCAGGGTATTAAGAAATGACAAATGAATTTATCACTATGCCATTTTTGGACAGTTGAACACCAGAACCTACGTTCACTCTCTCATTCACTAAAAACCAAGTAAGCAAGCCTTATTTAAAATCTCTAATCAAAGGCCAGCAAGATAACTCAGTAGGTAAAGGTACTTGCTGCCAAGCCTGACTACCTGAGTCTGATACCCAGGGCTCATGCAGTAATGAGAACTGACTCTCACATGTTGCCCTAGAACCTCCATACGTGCACTTAGTACCCTCCAAAAAGAATAAAACCTGAGGTTTTTTTTTTTTTTTTTTTTTTTTAATCTCACAATCAAGAAAATCTGCACTATAGCAAGAGGCTTCTACCCCATGATAGTGGGGGTCAAACTCAGGGCTTACCACATATGCTAATTGAGCTGCAGCTACAGGCCCTTATAGTTATACATACAATCTTTAAAATTCAACAAAAAGATTTTGGCATCTATAATGTTGAAATCATAGGTACTATGTTTAGTTCAATGCACTCCTATTTTATTCAATTATGAATTACCAAACTCAGAAAATATATTATGGCCACCTTTAAAATTCAATTTTATAGAGTTCAGACCACTAAGTTTATATAGCAGTTATGATTACCTTCTCAATAGTTACCTTTATTTCTTTGCAAAGCACACTTTCCTCTTCTTCATGAATGTAAAATTTCACAGTATTTTTCTGGACATCTTTCATTATTTTAACCAAACTATTAAATACTTCAGGTTCCAACTGGCTTATAAAATTTGAAAGAGCTGGTTGTGCAGAAATGTTTATATCGTTGGGTGATTTTGATATTTCTTTTTCTACTGACTCCAGGGCAGTATCACTAGGTACAGTGTGATCAGAAGTCAACATTAACTCCTTGCAGAGGTGTGGCTGATTCATTTCTATTACAACTGAAGAGGAATACTGCTCATTAGAACTGTTATCTTTTAAAGGTTCAGGACACAGTGGCTCAAAAAGGTCTTTACTGTTGAAATCACTTGAAGAAATTGATACAACATGCCTTCCCAGAGGATTCAATGTGGTTGTATGAGAATGATTAGGGTTTACTGGTGGCAAATTCCCACCCTTAGCTGATGCTTTAATAATAATAGTATTTAGTTTTTCGTGCAAACCATCTACAAATTCCTGTATACCAGCTTTTGAAGTCTTAGAGTATATGAACTCAGAAAGGCGATTCATCTTCTCTTGTGCTGAAAAGATAGGTGTGGAAATTGTACTAACATACGAAACATTCTTTTGCTTCAAAATCTCTTCTATCTTTCTAGAAAAGAAATGGAACTCTCCTAACACTGTATTCTCTGTAGTTTCGCTAGTCACTGTAGGAGGCTCTGCTGCTGGCACACACTGCTCTTCCACTGTCATCACTGGACCTGTCAACAGGTCCTCCTCCTCAGTGGTGCCCTTTACAGTGTCTGTAAACGGAGAGGATGGAAACTGGTAATCAGAACTTCTTTCTCTATTTATTACCCGAGGGTCGTTAGGAAAGGCCTCCAGTGGTGGTAGACACACCAGTTGTTCTCCTGGTGATTTCATTCCTATACAAGAAGAGTTTATTATTATAAGAGCAATCCAAATGAGTAACATTAAGAAACAAGCAAAAAACTCATTTTAAAATGCATAAGGCTCAGTCATACATTTAAAAATATGCATTGCAAAGTAAATTAAAAACCTCAAAAAACTGTATGACCCCAATTGCTCTACTTACAGGCTGTAGATTTCAGTAGACAGAGTAGCAACATTGAACAGTTTCTTTGCTTTCTTTCCAAGTGTTCAAAAGCACTCTTTGGAAAGATTTTTTTTTTTTTAAAGGTGCCTCTTTGTCATAAACATGTTAAGTCACTTCCCTGTTTTTGCTTTCCTACCATTCTATACATCTGATGCTAACAGATTATGTATAGTAATACTGGATTCCATGGCCAAGTAAAGTTAACACCACATTAGTTTAAGAATGGAATATAAGAGCCAGGCGGTGGTGGCGCACGCCTTTAATCCATCCCAGCACTCAGGAGGCAGAGGCAGACGCATCTCTGTGAGTTTGAGACCAGCCTGGTCGACAAGAGTTAATTCCAGGACAGCCTCCAAAGCCACAGAGAAATCCTGTCTCCAAATGATCCCCTCCAAAAAAGAATATAAGGCAACTGGAAGGCCCAACAGCAATGTTGTAGCATTAAGATCTTAAAAAATTAATTGTATCTATTTTTCAGGCTGACTTTCACTTATAGGTTGGTTAATGGATTGCCAACAACATAACATCATTGTGTCAAGAAAGGCTCAAAAAAAAAAAAAAAGAATTGAAATATTTCATAGCTGTAATGAGTAGTAACTTTGACAATGCTCCCCTAGTACTTCCATTTAATTTGCAAATAATTCCAGTGCTAATGGAACTACAATCTTTTGACTTGTAAGAACTGGTTCAATCTATATAAGATCATACTGTTTGTTTTCCTCAAAAACCTTAAATTCAAACATGATTAAGGTTTTAAAACTACTTTTCAAAGCAAGTGCCCTGTTTATTTTTAAATATAAGAGGAAAATATAGCTAACTTTAATTTATAGTTAATATATTTTAGAGAAATAAAGTCAAGATCTTAGGCTATCACACAATTTTAAGACTTTGAAAAATTAGAAATTCTCCGTAAGTATTAGCAACATTACCTAACACATCGATCCTGTAGTAAAGAAAATGGAACTAAATCAGGAAGTCCATTTATAAATTTTCACTGCAGTACTTACAATGAATTTGTAATTCTCAAATGTAGCTGCACATTCTTTCTACACAAAACTTTGTTTGTTTGTTTGGTTTGGTTTGGTTTTTCGAGACAGGGTTTCTTTGTGGCTTTGGAGGCTGTCCTGGAACTAGCTCTTGTAAAACAGGCTGGTTTGAAACTCACAGAGATCTGCCTTCCTCTGCCTCTGCCTCTGCCTCTGCCTCCCAAGTGTTAGAATGGATTAAAAGAGTACGCCGCCACCACCCGGCACAAAACTCCATTTTTATTTTCCCCACACTCAGTGTTTCATTGTCATGAATACTACATTCAATTATTGTAAAAACACTTATACAGTAACAACAGGCACAAAAGTCAAAACAAAGAAAAATACCCAATTTGTCAACAATTAAAACGGTATGAAATGTACAAGTTCTATAAGACTCAGAAATACTGAATGTTCTACCTTTAAATTTACAACATTTACAAAGTAGTTTAAAATAATTCAAAATATATAGAAAGGCATATAAGAAATTGGTTAACAATGACTAACCTATTGAGAGCAAAATAAACATACTCAATACGTTCTTTTTTTTAAATGCCCACCCACATTCTCTTTTATTTATATGAGACAGGGTCAGGGTAGCTTTGGACTCATAAATCTTCTTGTCTCAGCCTCCTGAGTACTAGATAAACTGAGATCAACTATACTGTTTAAAATAACAAGAGTTTTAAAAATATAGGTAGTCTTCAATACATTTATTTTATGACAATATAGGTATGTATCTTTAACAGATGTTTGAAATAAAAGAGCTGGGTTTGAGCCACCACACCATGGGACCTGAAGACATGGGTTTTAAACAGCTTTTTAAAAAAATTTAAATGTAACTTAAATTCCATGTAGAGTTTTCTCTATTAAAATTTCTAGAAGCAAGCTGGGGATGGAGGCACAGACCTTTAATACCAGTCCTTGGTAGGCAGAGGCAGGCAAATCTCTGAGTTTGAGGCAGAGCAAGTTCCAGGACAACCTGAACTACACAGAGAAACCCTGACTTAACAAAACTAGAAAATTCTAGAGATGGTTCAGTGGGTAAAAGCATTTGCTATACAAACATTAGGACCAGAGTTCAAATCTCCAGAACATACATAAAAAGCCAGGCATGTATGTACATGCCTGTAACGCTGTGGAGTTCAGAGAGGTGGACCTCAGGAGCTTAATGGTAAAACAGCCTAACTGAAAGGGCAAGCTTCTGTTTCAGTGAAGACTACCCTGCAAAGCAGTAAACAGCAAAAGAAGAAGAAACCAATGTTCTTCTATGACCTCCACATGTACTTATTCACATCTACACACTCCAATGTACTTCTCATCCCTATACATACCTACACATGCCACTTATAAGCCAAATAAACCTCTTTAAATTTCGAATAAACATAACTTTATTTTGTACAAATTAATCTATTATGATTTTAAGATCACCATTTTTAAAAAAAACATTCATTGATAAAGGATGTAACAGACAGATGTTACATGTTTACTGATTGTTGACAAAGTACCAGTCATTTGACTTTTAACATGTGAAGAAAATGCATTATTTCTCAGACAGTAATGTCATTTAGATCTAGCTTTCAATTATAAAACATGAATACAGTATCTGAAAAAGAAAGGTCTATCTATCTATCTATCTATCTATCTATCTATCTATCTATCTATCCACAGAACATTATGAAGTTCAAAAAAGACAACTGTTCCTCCTAGAAAGAATTACTGACAATACCAACATAGATGAAAGCTTGACATAAAAGTTGAAATGAAAGAGCCAAACAAACAGGCACAAGTGAATTCAATTTATGGAGACAATATTAAAAATACTGTAAAGAAAGTAAGATTAGTTGCTACCTACTGTGAATGGAGAGGTCATGGCCAAGTAAAATGTGAAAGAAAAGCTAGGGTGCTGGGATTGTTCTACATCTTGACTTGGGTAGTAGTCACACAGATTATACTTACGGAAATATTACTGTATACTAAAACTTGTGTACTTTCTTACATCATGGATTTCTAAAAATAAATCATCTTTCCTAAGATAAGGGTTAATTTACTAAGAAAGATATTTAGTTTTCCTTCTAAATTAAGAAACCTTCATACTTCTCCACGAATACTAAGAAAGTCAACTAACTTTCCTCCTAAACTAAAAAACAAAAAAGATCCACAAGATTTCTTAAAGAGTAAGGTATTAAAACAAAATAGAAACATAAAAAGGATCACTATTGAATTCAGGCAAGAAAATAATGCCAACAATGACGTGCAAAGAAGATGAATCTGACTGAGCTCAGTCAGACAAAAGAGACTATCTCCTGAGCATCCACTGCAATTAATTCATCAATAGGATTTTTGTTTTTGAAATAGTTTCTCAATCTCCTAAACTATCTGAGAAGTTAGCTTTATACTTAAAAAGGATGGCCAAAAAAATTTTCAAGATTATGAACAGAGTATAAAAAGGGAAAAAAAATGGTTCTCTTGTTGCATTTTAAAATAAAGATTAGTTCTTACAGAATATCTGAAAAAATACATTAAGAAAACATTTTCATATCCCTAAATCACCTGATCAGGTAGACAAGAATACAGATTACATTTGTAACAAGAATATATGATACAATTAAATTTTAAAATGACAGTTTAGAAAAAAAGATACTGTCTAAACTTCTCTGTCTGGAGCACAAAGTAAATCCATGCCCAACTGATGAAGAACCAGAATCCAAGTAGCAATTCTGAAGAAGGGCACATTGGGAAGAAAAGCAAAGTGAGCCTTCTCACCTGGTGTTTGTTTCTCACCATGTTTCCCATGCTGGTCTTCTGGGCTTCTTACATTCCCTCCTGAGGAAAGCATCCATTAGATTTGTAGATTTCTCTTCAGATACCAGTGATGCCTTTTAGACAAATGCTAGCAAAGGACCATTCCTTCTTTTGCCTAAACATTCTTGAAAGGTCATTTGGAAATGGGAAATTGTTTCCCTTTCCATTCAGGTGATGGAAAAATCAATACCTATATTACTTCTTTAAATGACTCAACAGCAATTATGAAGGTTTTTAAATGAAGAAAGGTTAAGATAACTACCACCTATACACTACTTTTCTATTTTATTTTAAAATTTTACTATGTCTCCATTTCATAAAAGTTCTCTCTCTACCATTAGTTCTAGGGTTTCTTGCCTCCTCCATAAAGGTATGAAGTAGAGAACAGTGCAGAAGCCCATGGAAACTCGTCAACTTTTAGAAATTCTTCTCAGAATCTCTATAGGTCTCATAGATTGTAGGTCAGAAGCCGGTCTATTTTTCAGCAAAAGTCACTCTTCAACTTCTTTCCAAAGGCTAAATAAAGCTATAGGAATGGAAAAGCTGTGCCCAGAAAACAATTCCAAACATATTTAGCTAACAAAGATGAATAAGAACTTGAATATTAAGAACATGCAGTGTGTGCATGGATAAGAATATTACAAATGACAATCTTTAAACAACTGTCAAATGCCAGTGGTTCAGTAAGTTTCCATGAGGTATTTGCATTTGGTCATTTCAGACTGAGCTCCAGAATGAACCATTAGGAAATCAAATTTCCTTTACACAGATGAGCCTCAACATGATCATTTGCTAGATGACAGACAGCTTGTGTAGTGAAGTTTAGATTAATAAGTTGAAAAGTAGTGGCTACCCAAAAAACATCATTTCATTCCAACACTTGCTTCTCCAAGTTCAGTTTCTATCAACAGTTTTCAATTGACAATATGCATGCTAAAACTCCACAAGAATAGTAACTATGTCCTAAGTTCCTACATTAATAGGCCCTTTTGAAGATACTTGCTGATGTCAATCAAGAATAGTAATAGTGATAAATAATATATCGCTAAAAGTAAAGACTCGTGGCAGAGCCAAGTAAGATAGGTATCTCGTGACCCAAGACAGGAAACTAGAAAAGATGAAACTCACCAGGAAACCGGTCCCTAAGTAAAAGAAAGCAAACCTATACCTAGTATACCAGTCCTTACCTGTAATTGGAATCAATTTCCAATGTATTTCTGTCTCTTCTTCATCATTTGACTTAGAATGTTGTCTAAGGAATCCGTGCTCAATGGAAACAGTGGGACACAGACTGCACTCTTCAAAATTATTGACATTAATTAAGTTTGGATCCTAAAAATAAAGTGCATACATTTAATAGCTTTCCTTTTAAATTTAATATCAAGACTATACTACCTTCTCATGGCAAATATACAAACTTCACTCTAAACATTAGAAATAAATAAAACCAACATGGTAAAGTTATAATACTCTAGCTTTAAATTTAAAATATATTTTGCCAAGGTCAGGTTCAGGAGGCAGAGACAGGAAGATCAAAAAGTTTGGGGCCAACCAGGTTTATACACTGAGTTACAGGCCAGCTACATGTTCAGAGTGAAACCTTGCCCTAAACAAACATACCCCCCCAAAAAAATAAATAAACAATATAAATTGTCCTTAAACTGAGGACTGGCAAGATGACTCAGTGGGGAAAGGCACTTGCTACCAACCCTGATGACCTGAGGTAGCTCTCTTCAGGATCCACATGATGGAAAGAATAAACTTTCAAAAGTTATCCTCTGACCTTCACATGTACACAAAGAGTAAAAAAAAGAATTTAATAAAAAGACATAAAGAGCTGGGCAGTGGTGGCACACGCCTTTAATCCATCCCAGCACTCAGGAAGCAGAGGTAGGTGGTCTACAAGAGTTAGTTTCAGGACAGCCTCCAAAGCAACATAGAAAACCTGTCTCCAAAAACAAACAAATAAATAAGATATAAAGAACACTCACAAATAAAGAGCACCAACTGCTCTTGAAGAGGACCAGAGTTCAATTCCCGGTACCCTACATAGCAGCTCAAAAACATCTTAAACTCCAGTTTTTTCAAGAGATCTGGTACCTCTACTGCTCTCAGAGGGCACAGATATATGTGGGTGTATAAACAAACATACAGGCAAAACAATCACATGAAAAAAATTAAATCTTTAAAACATATAATACATATCACACATGCAAAACTAGTGTTGATTTAAAGCAGTGACTGGTAAACTTTTAAATTTTATAGGTATTCAACTCTAATTTTAACTTAACAATACCAACCAGCAATACTTAAATGAATAGAAATAAATTTATAAGTTATAAAAACAGGAACAGACTTTTTTTTTTTTTTTTTTTTTTTGGAGCCTATCCTGGCACTCCCTATGGAGACCAGGCTGGCCTCTAACTCACAGATATCCGCCTGCCTCTGCCTCCCGAATGCTGGGATTAAAGGCATGCGCCACCAAAGCCCTAGCCCATACTCTTGTTAAATGTATTGAGAAACATTAACCATATAGGTTAATGTTTACCACATAAACCTCCTCCCACCACCTTCTTCCTAAAATAAATATCCCAAAACTATATAAAGAAAGGCTGAGATATGCATATATGACTTTTACTCAAAGGCAGAAGAACAAATTAATTATAAGCCCTTAAGAATATTAACCTCAGGGGCTGGAGAGATGGCTCAGAGGTTAAGAGCACTGACTGCTCTTCCAGAGGACCTGAGTTCAATTCCCAGCAACCACATGGTGGCTCACAACCATCTATAATGAGATCTGGTGCCTTCTTCTGGTGTGTAAGCATGCATACAGATAACTGTATACATAATAAATAAATAAATAAAATCTTTAAAAAAAAAGAATATTAACCTCAATGATTTAGCTACTCTTTTAGGAAAGTAAGGACTAATACAGAAAGTCACTGTCTACTAAGCACAAACCGTATTCCTTAATAAGCAACACTGAGAATCACCTTCAGAGACAATCCCAAAGGCTACTCATTTGTATTTGCACAATATAAAACAATTGGCAACACCATGTTACTAAGTTCAGCTGCTTCATCTGCCTCACTTTGATAATCTTACAGCAAAAAACCACCACTGTTTTGGAGGACTCATTTCATTATGAAACAATATGAAATTAACTACTGCTATGCCAATCTAACAAACTATCTAGCCCTAGTTTTTTTATCATACTAGATAAATTTTAGATTATATATAAAGCACATAAGCATATAGAAAATAATTACTTCAGTATTTACCTATTTTCAACAAGAAAGGCTTAGAATCACCCTACAGGACAAACGCTTTTATTTAGGAATATGTCTTAGTTCTTTCTACAAGGAAAAGCCACTCCCTACACTCTTTCTTCAACATACACAAATGCAAACACAGATACCAGAAAGCAATGTTTGCCTTTCAAATGTAGCTTATGGTCAATGCCTACCTCATTTGTAGAAAGAGTAGGGTACTTTACAGAAGCTGCATCAACTTCTAGCAGTGGGCTCTGAGCACCCTTAAAATGAACATTTTCAATTTTTGTACAAGCAGGCTGCTCACAGTCTTTCTTATCCAAAGCAGGATTCAACTCATATTCACATTTTTGTCTTAGCGCTTCACAGGTACCACTGCTACTCAATCCTAAGGCCTTGTTGACTGTATCTGTCAGAAACGCATCTGAGTGCCGAGCATTTGCTAGTGTTTCTGACAACCAATTATAAAGCTTGTGGATGTCTCCAATGTTACATGCCTCTTCCTGCTGCAGTCTCAAGTTAGGTTCATGTCCAAGTAAGCCAATAGACTGTGGAGACTCTGAGAAAAAGAAAGAAAAGCCACCTATTATATTTTAAAAGCTAGTATATTCATTTATATGACAGAATGAAAAATACTTATTTTTTTTAAAAATCAAATATAACTTAAAAGTTACTTGTAAGGCATTTATGGGTAGGGACTAAAATATTTTAGGATAAGGTTTTACAAATATGTGTCTTTACTATAACTGTTTCTGAAAATTTGAAGAGCACATGAAAGAGCAGTAAGCATGGCCAGACTAGTCTGAAAACAAAGCCTTGAAAAGCCAAATATTGGGCCAGAGAGATGGCTCAATGGTTAAGAGCACTTCCCGGCAACCACATGGTGGCTCACAACCATCTACAATTCAATCTGGTGCCCTCTGCTGGCATGCAGGTAGAACAATGTATATGTAATAAATAAATAAATCTTTAAAAAAAAAAAAAAAGAAAGAAAAAAGAAAAGCCAAACACTGAAGGTGAAAATGACAATGCAGAGAGGATACTGAAATGAATTGAGGAAATTTAAAAATCAGGAAGAACCCAAAAGAGATGAGACAGACACTGAAAGTAAAGAAATACCTAAGTAAAGAAAAAGCCTAGAAAGGTGTACCAGACAACAGCACCGTCAAATAGAACTTTCTGCAATGACTGAAATGTTTCTATCTACATGTTCTAATACAGCTGCATGGCTGATGAAATGTAGTATTGTTTCGTTTTAGTTTAAACCTAAAGAGATACGTGTAATGACTACCACAATGGATAATTCAAGAATAAAAGTAAAGGTTCCAGTTCTAGTGGCACACTCCTATCCTAATACTTGGGAAGACAAGACAAGAGGATAGTAAAATGTTAGACTGTCCTAGGGAATAAGCTAAAACCCAATCTTGTTTCAAAAAGTAAAGGGAGTTGGGACTGTAGTTGAGTGGATGAGTGCTTATGTAGCATAAACAAGGCTTTTGGTTCGTTCAGAGCATGAAAGTATATAATACAGCAAGGACATTAATTTGCCCAACCCAGTAAAAGACAAACAGATTTGAAATGAAGACAAGCAAGGTTTCTGAGCACAAAACAAAAGCCCAAAGCTCACATTTCATGCTTCTGAACTAGCCAGTATAAAAAGGTAAAAACACTGCCTGAATACTTAACTTACTTGCAATACTTAAACACACTATGGTAATAGTCCCTCATTTCTATCAACTGAAAATGATACAACAAAGAAACACAATAGTAATTATATGAATCTAAGCAAATTCATTTTAAAGCTCAGAAGAATCCATTCATCAATTAACAGCCTGAAACAATCCAACAAACATCTCATTGTGAAAACAAAATATAGTATAGGAGCTAAGTTCAAGCTAACTCAAGTGTTCAGTATAACTTACCATAGTAGCTTAAGCTGAACAATTAAGAAATTTGGGGGGGGGGGGGTTGAGGTTCGAGACAGGGTTTCTCTGGAGCTTTGGTGGCTGTCCTGGAACTAGCTCTTGTAGACCAGGCTGGTCTCAACTCACAGAGATTCGCCTGCCTCTGCCTCCCGAGTGCTGGGATTAAAGGCATGCACCACCAACGCCCAGCTCAGGCTGTTTTTTTATACAGGATCAGGCTGTAAATTTTTTAAACATGGGCCATGCAGAGTCTTTACTGTAAAGACTCTGCCATCTCAGAGTATATAGCAGCTATATATACATAAATAAATGGCCATGGTTGTATTCTAATACATTCTCTTTCCAAAAACAGGAACAACTCTTTCATTCCTTAGCTGCTTGAGGATCTGTGGTCATCAAAATTGACACAGTAACTATCTGAACCAGAAAGTTTATGACCAACCAAATACTTCAAAGGAAACAAACGACTTAAGTCTGTCATGCTGGAAAGGCAACAGTAAGACAAAAATTCAGGAAACAAGAAATAAAAACAAACCAGATCCTTGTATTTTCAGAACCCATTTTGGTGGAGCAAGGTAACTGAATTCAGGATGGTTTATGTTTTCTTGGATTGTGCAAAGAAAAATGGAACCATAACACACTCTTGAAAAATACAGCTTGTTGAGAAAGGACCATGAACAAACAGCAAAAGAACATGTTATAGTACTGGCAAAAAGTAAGCGAGAGTGTGAATGACAACCGAAAAAGTAAAGCCACTGCAGTGACTTATCTGCCTGTGAGGGTAAAACTTCTAAGGAATAGTATTAACAAACTGTAACCAATCCAATCAACCAATCCTGAACAAGCCATGTAGGCATCCCCATACCTGTAACTTCACTCTCTGGAAAGCTGAGGAAGAAAGATTGGTGAGAATTACAGGCCACCAGAGCTCCAGTGTGACACCCTGACTCAAAAAAGATAGGGGGAAAAGAAAAAAAACGTAAAACCTGAACCCAACCAACAACCCAGGACATTTTGGATTTGACTCTCAGGCTTATAGTAACTTGAGGATCTCTATAACATGGAGAGAATAGGACCAAGGTTATGTATTTTGGCTATTATCATAGAAGCAGTGTGTTATTTTACCTTCATATAGATGGTAATTATCAGATGAACTGCTGGTCTTGGCGAACTTTCTCATATTTTCAGGTAGATCCTCAAGCTTCCTCTTTAAGACATTTTTGCTTCTAGTATCTTCAGTATCTGGGTCCCCACCCACATTTTTTTTCGTACACTGAATTAAATTAATCAATTCTTTGACTCTATCCTTATCATAATCTAAAGAATGAGATGACTTCTGCTGTGAAGGTTCAGTAGTTTCACCCCTTGAGCTATTTCGTTTTCCAAATTTCATTTTTGAACCATTAATTTCTTCTTCTTGGCCTTCATAATCTGAAAGTGGACTAAATTGTTGCCGTTTTAGATTTTCTTCAAATAACTCTTTTAATTTAAAAATAGGTAACTGATACATTTCTGGCTGAAAAATGTAGGTATGTAAGCAGTCATCGATATGAGATTTATTTCTTGGTGCTGAGTAGAGGAACTTTTTATCATCTAATCGTGAATCATATGAAAACATGAAAAATTCTCGCTTACCTGAACCAAAACCTCGCTTAAAAAATTCACTTACGTACTTTTCAACAACAGAATGAAAATTAATAGTGTTTATATCTTTGAATTCTTTTCGACATTGAATCAAAGCAAACTGTAAAAACTGAGTTATTTTTAATATATCTGATATGTTCTCATGTTTCTCCTGTGGTAATGGATTCGTTACACCTTTTTGTGCTGCAAATAAACAAAAAGTAAACCACAGTAGCAATAAAGAAATTTCAAATATAAATCTTCATACTACTGAAGTATAACAACATTTGAACATTAATGTTGAGCCAGTGAGTGTCTGTTTTCTAATACACATGTAGTACAGCAAACTGATGAGCAGCATGCTTCTACTTAAAATGGGCCAGGAACCAAAACAAATGAAAAGGGAGAACAGATTTTAATGGAAAAAAACCTCCTCGATAACAATTACACTTTCTTCTGCCCCCAAGTCAACACAAATGGTGGCAAGAAAATTAATTTGCAAGGAATAGGATAAAAGCAATATTTGAGATTCTAAGCAGTAACTCTCCTGTAATGACAACAATGCCACTCCATTTTTCTCATAAAGTAACTTTATATAAACTCATTTTTCCATAAGCACATATCCATGCACTGAATAGCCACAACTGAAAAAATCCAGGCTTAATCCAAAAGCCCATGGAATTACTTAATATAGTATTCAAGTTTGTTGTTAGACAAGGCAAACAGCAAAATCATCTCTAACATAAATATTCTAAGTTTTCATTAACTATGAATAGTCTAAAGTTTACTATTGCATATGATACTTCAAAATCACTACAACATGAATACAAAAATGAGAGAAAAATGTCACATAAAACTCTTACTGAGCTGTTGTACTGAAACAATTATAATAAAACTTCATTAATGAAAGCGCTGAACAAAAAAATGTTCCACAGTCAAGAAAAAAACTTCAAAGCCAGGAGTAATGGCCAACACAAAAACAGGGAGGGGGAACACATCAAAGTCATGTTTTATACTGCTAATTCTACAGACTAATCCCAGTATTTCAAAAAATAAGGTGTAGAAAAAATAAAAGATTTCAATAATATATCTACCAGCAATTATGCTTCAACATTAAAAAAACAACTTACTGATAATTAGGCATCTAGGTTCTTGAAACAGAAACAAAGCATGTAGGATTCGAGACTTGACAGTCTGATGTTCTAAAAAAGAAAGGAAAGAAAAAGCCAATTGCATTAGCAAGTAATTTTAACTATTTCTTTAAATTGTAAAAATTAAAGCCAAACTACCTACCATATGGAGAAGTCATCTGGTAAGGAGAAAGAAGAAAAAGGTATCCACGGTCTCCTAAAGGTTTAACAAGAACCTGCAGATTGGGGAGGAAGAAGGGTGCATCCACCATATTACTACTACTATTACTACTCTAAAGTAGATACAACACTTTCTAAGTATAATCTTTTTTTTTCTTAAAGTAAATAATACTACTAAATTAGGTTAAAATTCTTAACTACAATATAACAAAATAGCATTTAAACCACCAAACTATTAAGAAGATCCCAATTAAGTGAAAACTTACATTTATAATATACTGAGAGTGTTCTTGAAATAATTATAATTATCTGTGAGAATATCTTGATGCTAAAATATACAGATTTCTAATATTTCTTATCAGTGCAAAAGATATTAATTGCCAGACAGCATGCTGAACACTGTGTACAAAGCATGTTTTGAAATAACTGCCTATGAATATTCAAGATAATGTTCAATGAAATGTTGCCAGAATCTAATCTTACAGTTATTTAATGAGTATCAATCACATTACCTAATTTTACTTGCCAGAGGTAACCTGAAGCCTCTTAACAATGTAAAGAAAGTAACACACAAAATAACAGTAATTATAAAAGACAGAAAAATTCTCCCCAAAGATTTAAAAAGCAGGAGAGAGGGCCCAATAGGTACTTGACTAACACATGGAGTAAGAATAGAGTAGGGAGAATGGCTAAATGTTTAATAGACAAAGATGCAAATATCAAATAGTAAAAGAAAGAAAATAAGAATTCCAGTTTAGCCGGGCGTTGGTGGTGCACACCTTTAATCCCAGCACTCAGGAGGCAGAGGCAGGTGGATCTGAGGCCAGCCTGGTCTACACAGCGAGTGCCAGGATAGGCTCCAAAGCTACACAGAGAAACCCCGTCTCCAAAAAAAAAAAAAAAAAAAAGAATACCAGTTTAACCAGGAACATCTTTAGTGTGTATACTGGTAACGACTTCCTTTGGTAACAATAACAAAAAAGATCTGAGGGCACTGTATCAGAGGAAAAGAAAACAATCTAACATAAAGCATTTATTTTGGGACCTACTAAGATAGCTTCTGGATTAAAGAATGAAGTGAACAGAAAAGGATATTTATACTGTGAAAATTGTGCTACCTGCATTACTATTAACAATACAGATAAAAAGTGACTGTACTAACAAAAATACTATAAAAATACAGTGGTATCGTGTTTTAGAGGTTTCAAGGTGCTTCCAACTAGCCAGCTTCCCTGGGTAACTTCTCTTTAATCCAATCATAAAAAATAATTGTCTGGTGCTCTAGCAAGGCTCTTTTAGAGCAAGAGTTGAGTAAGCTGCCTGGTAGCATGAGCCAAAATTGGGGATGGGGATGGGAGTCTAGAAGACCAATGAGCCAGAAATATCCCAATCTAGAGATCATTCATAAAAATTTAGGGAATCCTTCCCTTTAAAATAAAAAATAATTATACTCAGTGTAGTCAACTGTCACATGTTTCTGATATAAATGGAGCTTATGCCAAAAGTAAGATTTTGATTTAAGGTATTAAAAGTTACATATACCCTGAAGTGGCCTTTGTCTCCTGGAGACCTCTAGGGCAGGCTGGATCATACTCCTCAGTGACAGTGCTTAAGTTGGCCTTATGACTACCATTAATGTTAGAGCCACAGACACCGATATCTCACAGACAATATACCTACACAGACAATATACCTGCAAAATTATTTCAAATCTAAATACTCTAATCCAAAATGTTTCAAACATTATATATCTTTCCTTAATATTCTGTTCAAGTCCTAGGTGTTAGAACAGCATAATGAATCTGTGCTCACTATAAACTAGTTACCTGCCTTAAACATCATACTCATTCCAAATATAATACCACATTTTACAAATACCACAAACAAACTTAGTGGTTTACAGATTATAAATAACCACTGAATCAGCTGGGTGTGGTGACACATGCCTTTGATCCCAGTGCTCAAGAAGCAGAGGCAAGCAGATCTCTTGTGGTTTTGGCCAGTCTAGTCTACAGAGTTATTTCCAGGACAACCAGGACTACACACAGTGAAACCCTGTCTCAACCTGCCCTCCCCACCCCTCAACCCCACCCACCCTACCCCAACCCCACAAAAAAATTGCAGACAGAAAACACAGGCAGTTAACAGATAGGAAGAGAGCAAAGAAGTCTCTTCTGGCTCATAAAGTTGTGACTACAGAGAACGAAGGAGAGTTATAACCAGAAATAGAACTAGCAATCTCTCCAAAAATTAAGACAGAAAACCAGACAAGAAAAAAAAAAAAGTGTGCATGTGTATCACATTGGATATATAAAAAAATCAGTACCTAGATACTGTAATTGCAAAACTATAATAAGTTTGTCTCTCACACACACACACACACACACACACACACACACACACACACACACACACACCAACCACATGACGGAGGGAGGGAAGGAGGGAGAGGGAGTGGGAGAGGGAGAGAGGAATAAAGAGAGAAAGGGAAAGAAGAAAAAAAGCAACCAGAAACCCAGATCTGAAAGAATAGGCCTGTATTCTGAGATAACAGAATCACAAGTTCAAGGGCAGCCTGGGAAACCGATCCTTTCTCAAAATATAAAAGGGGGAAAAAAAAAAAAAAGCCAGGTGTTGGGGGGGCTGGCCTTTAATCCCCTCCCACCCGCACTAGGGGTTGGCGGGGGGGGTTTTCAAGACAGGATTTCTCTGTGTAGCTTTGGAGCCTGTCCTGGAATTCACTTTGTAGACCAGCCTGGCCTCGAACTCTGATCAGAGATCTGCCTGCCTCTGTCTCCCACAAGTGCTGAGATTAAAGGTGTACACCACCACTGCCCAGCAAATAATCTTATTCTTTTGAATCTATAAATATGCTACTGGAAGATATGGAGAAATGGCTCAGCAGTTAGGAGCACCTGCTGTTGCAGAAGACTTGGGTTTGATTCCCAGCATACATATTATGAAGATTCACAACTACCTATAACCCAAGTTCCACAGGATCTGACGTCCTTTTCAGGCATCTACAAGCATTAAGTATGCACACAGTATATGTACATACATGCATGCAAACATACAAAACATCTTTCAAAAACAAATGCTATTGTCTCTCTTCAACCAAATTAAATAACTTTGTTCAGAAGTCTGCCTCATTTGGTATTCCATAAATATTTTGACAATAATACAACATTTATAATCACAATCTATAATAAAAATGGGTCTATACAAAGTCTACTGTCATGGGTAAAAGGAAGAGTACTTTATCTACTTTACATAGCAAACTCTAGACTAGCAAAGACTACATAGCAAGAGCTGGTCTCCAAAGTAAAAATATAATGATAATAAAATACTGTTAATTGAGAGCACTCAACAGAGACCTTGTAGGACTTCCAGAAGCAAAAATAAATTGAAACATTAATAACAACTTTAAAAATTTTCAAGGGATAATGGGAATATTTAAAACTTTTCACTCACTAGTTTTTCTTTTTCCAGTTTTTGCAGTAAACACTCCATGTTACTTCCAATTCTTGTCTTTTCTACAACTTCATAAAGGCTACAATACATCCCATTCTTTAAAACTGACACAAAGAAAAAATACACAGTAAAATATCAAATCAGGTCTGCTTCTTACATATTTTAGTAAAATGAAATTACTTTACCTTCATTAGGACCCACGTATGTGTCTTTATAAAACAATGCAGGAGGAATTTTCTGTTTCAAATAATCAATACTCATAACTGTTTCAACATCTAACTTCTCAGGACTGAAAGAAAATATAAGAGCATGTTTGGCATACCTGCAATTTTAACTCTAGCAATGTTATCAGACACATTAATATATACACTTAATGAAGATGGGGCTGAGGACACAGCTCAGTTGCTTGCCTAGCATACAGAAGGCCCTGAGTTCAATCTCCAGTATCATATAAACCAGATGTGGTGGTGCATCCCTGTAAAACCAGCATTTGAGAGGTGAAGGAAGGAGGATCACAGGTTCAAGGTCACATCCCCTGCTATACAATGAACTTGCAAACAGCTGCTACCTGAGACCTTGCCTCAAGGTCAACAAAATAAAATACAACTGATGGGAAAATGTATGCATTTGTTAGTTGTTTAACCTTATTCTATAGAGGACCTGATACAGGAAGCTGAGGTATCTATGCTCAAGTAAGTAGCAACTGGCAATATTGCCAACCTTATATCCTTAAATCAGAAGCTAATCCTACATGCCAACTTTAGGAACAAAAAGAATAAACAGTAGTCATTTACAGTTACAGTTTGAGCTGGCATAGTTCTTTTCTTTTGGAGATGCTGAGAATCAAACCCAAGGGTTGTATAGCAGGCAAGCATTCTATCACTGACCTGTATCTTCAAGCATTTATACCATCTTCTGCATATTAACAATAAACAAACTTTAATTCTAACATGTTATGTGAATTATAAACTATATATACACATCAACTTACCACAGCAAAGCTCTTTTCAACAAAGAAATGTTTAACCACCACCACCCCTTTTTTGTTTTAAAGCAGGGTTTCACTACAGTCTGCAAAACAGAGGTCTAGAATTCACTATGCAGCCAAAAGTGCCTGTGAACTTGAGATTCTCTGCTTGAGCCTCCCACATACAAGTGTGTTCCATCATACATAGCTAAAACTGGTCAACCTCTAAGTCTATTATATACAAACTGCTAAATAAGTCTAAACAGAATAAAATTTTAAACTCATCTTTCAGACTTAAAATCACTCATAACAGACTACCCAACCTACTAGTAACCTTCAACGTAGAGCACCAAAGCTTGTTTACCAATTAACTTCCTGAAGTTACAAAAAACAATCATTTTAGAAACACATTAACATTTATATTTAAACTTTTATGGAGCACATTAATTTTGAAAAAAGGTAAATAGCAAGCAAGCCAGGAATGATGGCACATACCTATAATCCTATCACACAAGGCTGAAGAACACAAGACTGCCTAGGCTATAAAATGAATTCCAATCCAGAATAAGATAATCTCAAACAATTTTTTTTAAAGAAACAATCAAACAAAAAACTAAAGCAACTAAGTCTTCTAAACTGTCTGTCAAGTACTATTTTCTTTTTAATTTTTTAAGTTAATTTTTAGTCTAGCAATGTGAAATAAAGGGTTATATGTCACTATACTTTATTCTCCTTCTCTATGATCCTCCTTCTGCCCCTTCCCACTATTTTAATGTAATATACTTACAGCTTGACAGGCAAAAAGGCACGAGTGGCCGACCTCAAAGAAATATAACACAGAAGCTTTCCTTTATTTAAAAGTTGTCCTTTCCACAAGGTGTAGTTACATTTTTCTAAACAAAAGAAATAAGAGTCCAGTTGCTTGAAAACCCAGAAGGTAAATATTTACTAGAAATGAAAAGTATTTAGAAATAAGGTTTAAATACAAAATAAACACAGAAGTGACATGCCCTTCAGGGCAAGGTTCAAAATGCTAAGATTTGAGTTTCAAGTATCTTTTCCCTTTAACAACAACAAAAAAAAAACATTCTAACTTCAAAGAACAGACAATCTAAGTGCTCTCATTAGAAAGCAGAACAAACAATAGTTACTGTCCCAAAGGAGCCAATTATATTAATGTCTCCTCTCTTCTATTTATTTTTTGTGATAAAGAAACTTAAAAGGTAGTATTGTTTTAAATTTTCTTTATCAAAATTAAAAGCCTCTGGTGAATATAATGCTTTTAAAGTGTTCAATTGTAAATCCAAATTTATCTTTTTTTTCCCCCCAATTCAAAGTGCTAGAAATTCTGGTCCATCTTCAGAAGCAGTAGCATCTTCTAAAAGGAGTCCTTATGTTTGAATGATCAAGTACTGATGCTACATTATAACATGACCTCACCTTGCTTTATGTTTCATATTTGTATTATGAAATTAAAACACTAAACTTAATCTTTCACTGTTTATACTTTCAACTTATAAAAGTAAAAAAAAATAAGACTCTTACCTATGTTTCTATCTGCATTAAAGCTGTTAGATCTACAAATAATTTTTTAAAAAGAAAGGAAAATTATTACTGATTGGAAACAACATGAATGTTAACATTTAGGACCCTGACATACTGTCTGTGTTTTTGTTGTTGCTGTTGTATTTTCCAGTGCTGGGGATGGAACCCATCACCTCACATGTACAGCAAGCAATTTAAACTGAACTAAAAGCACCAACCTGTAAGTGTCATTTCCAATGGAATTACAGGAGAACAAAATTCTTCCAAGTAAGAAAAACTTATTCTTTACAAAATTTAGTAAACCTAATTCTTAAGAGAAGTACTTGCTGTTTTATTAATGTATTTGCCAAAATTTATGAGAGCTGTTTTATATTTCAAAAAGTATCCATTAACAGACATATGACCTGTCGATTCTATCTTGAAAATAAAATTAGAAAAAACAGCCGCTCTCTAAAAATACATCCATTACCCATTGAATAAATATTTAAATTCTTATATTTACTAGGCATAATGCTAGGTAACAGAATTTTAAGTATAAACAGAACACAGTCCCTTATTTCAAACAATTTACAATCAAATGATAAAGAAAGGTAATTATAAATAAGTACAGTTTATTAGATGATGACAGTTTCAAGAGATACACAAAAAAGGCCAAGTACAAGAGTTTAAAAAAAAAATTCAGAGAACACCAGTGATATGAAAGGCTAGAGGAAACATAAGAAACATAAGCTATGCAGTAATGGGTGAAAAGAAGTCCAAAAAATGTGGGGTCCTGAGGCAAACGTCCTCATGACACACTCATTCTACAGGATACATGTTTCATCAATGTTTGTCTGAAACAATCTGGGGGGGGGGGGGTCAACAGAAGGGCTTCAAAAAAGTAGGAAAAGAGCCAGGCACTCTCAACATTCAGGAGGCAGAAGAAAGTGGAGCACTATATTTTTGAGACCAGTCTGGTCTACATGATGAGTTAAGACAGACTACATAGAGACTTTGTACCAAAAAAGAGACATAGAGGCAGAGAAACAGAGAGACAGACAGACAGACAGACAGACAGACAGACAGACAGACAGACACGCGCGCGCACACACACACACACACACACACACACACACACACACACACAAAGATGGAGAGGGAGGGAAAGGAAGAAAATTAACAGTCACTATTTTCAGGGATATGACTCTCATAATTATAAGTGGTGTGTCTTTTAAAGACCACCTATGAAAAAATGCTATAGTAAATGTGCATGAAGCAAAAGTGGGAACGCATTCATCTCTGTTTTGCATGAACTAGTACTTGTAGAGGTTTTGAGAACTTATTTACCACTAGGGCTTGGTAGCTAATGCCAGCACTCAGGAGGTTGAGGCAGGATCTTTCCAATCTTAAACCTGAGATATCTATAGTAAACTCTAGGCCAGCCTAGGATATAGCATACAACTCTACCTCCAAAAAGAAAAATAAACTAAACAACAAGAGTGTTCTTTATCAAGCACATTTGATGTTTAAAAAAAAAAGTAGAGGTCACCCTAAAAAATGTGCATCATTAAAGGTTTTTTTTTTTAAATAGTTTTAAAAGTTACTGTAAGCATGTTTATGAACTCAAAAAGAAAATAATGATCACCTGACTCCTAAGACTAGGAGTATCTAGGCATTCCACTAAATTATTTCATTGGGTTGGGATAGAGCTTTATAGAAACTCAATTTTTTGTTTGATTTTTTTTTTTTTTTTTCCCGAGACAGGATTTCTCTGTGTAGCTTTGCAGCCTATCCTGGCACTTGCTCTGTAGACCAGGCTGGCCTGAAACTCAGAGATCCGCCTGCCTCTGCCTCCCAAGTGCCAGGATTAAAGCCATGCACCACCAACGCCCAGCTTAGAAACTCAATTTTTAAGAGAGCTAAAAACACAAAATTTCTGTTTTGGGGAAGGCAGGGATCATATAGTGAAGGTGGCTTCAAACTCACTGGACAGCCAAAGCTGACTTCTATATCCCAAGTGTTAGGAATACAGGCATATACCACAACAACCAGTTAAAATTTCACTTTTCAAAACTGTTATATATTAAAGTACATATAAACCTTCAAAACAAAACAAAAGAAAAAAAAAGAAAAAAGAAAAAGCCCCACAACTTAGCTAGGTGAATAAAAGCAAATTTTAGTTCCTATTTCCATACCAATGGTCATCCTTCATATTTATAATGAACATGAAAACATCTAGTTAATGTCCAAAAAAAGCTGAATAGAGCAATGGTAGCTTCTGAACTATTTCTCTGTGTAAAATTGTCTTACCTCAGTGAAGACATAAACTTTGGAGTTTGAATTTCATCTTTGTAAATAAAAGACACAACTGCATATGGACAAACATGTCTTGGTCTCCGTCTTAGTTCATCGAAGCCATACTCATAAAAGTAATACTAAAAATAAGAAACACAAAATTAACATTTTAGAATAGGCAAGTAGTAGAGAAGATATATTTTATTAAAAACCTAAGCACCATTTAAGCAACTTTGGCAGGAAAGAAATTTCCTTGAGGTGGTCCACTTAACTAAAACAAAAAATTTGTACTTTTTTTCTTTTTATTTCTTATTTTTTTAATTTGTACTTTCTATGCATTTTATGTACCAGGTAGCCCAGAAGTTTATTTTTAAAGTGTTGGTAACAGAAATATGCAATTAACTTCCTAATGAAAATACTGTAAAATGGAGCCTAAGCTAGGTCAGCCCAGAAAAGTCAATTAGATTAAAAAAGTAAAATACTAAGGACAAAATTTCAACCAATATTAAGTGTTATTTTATGTGTTAGTGAAAAAGAAAACAAAACTGGAACTCAATTGCATAGAATGAAGCAAAGGAGGGGTGCAAAAGAAGACTACAGATGTAAACATCCAAGTAGATAATCTTACTACTCACAAGTCTCTTCCCTTCCCCTGTTGATGACAGTCATCATGCTGGAGTTTTCTGACTGCAGAAAACTAAGAATGCCTGAGTCTATAATCAAGTCCTTTTCCCTAGAAAATTACTGATTTCAATGTTGTTTTTCTCAAAATTCTTCCTAAAACATAGCTCTGATTTGTAAGTTCTAGAAAACCTAACAACTACTCTTCAAGTCTACCAACAACACTATAATCTAAAAGTAGTGAATTGAGAAAGCTCCTGATGCCTTTCATGAATATAATTTTGGTTAAATCTCTAGCCATAGATCTTCTCCACCAACACATTTCAACAAGGAGCCAACAAACTATTTTCCACAAATACTGCAAAAAAACAACAACAAAAAAATGTTTCTGAGCATTTGCCTACATATATGTCTGTCTGTCTGGGCACCACTTGCCTGCCTGGTGCCTGAGGAAGCCAGAAGAAGACATGCAGACATTTGTGAACTATCATGTGGTACGAACAAACAAACTCTGGAAGAGTACCAACAATCTTAACTATTTTGCCATCTGTTCAGTCCCAACAAAAATTTTTGAAGAGTATTTCTTTTTTTTTGTTTTTTTGAGACAGGGTTTCTCTGCATTGTTTTGGAGCCTGTCCTGGAACTCACTCTGTAGACCAGGCTGGCTTCGAACTCACAGAGATCATCTGCCTCTGCCTTCTGAGTGCTGGAATTAAAGGTGTGTGCCTCCAACACCCAGCACTGAAGAGTATTTCTAGGTTCACCATATAATGGAAGAGGACAATACCCACAACTAGACATCTTATGCTATCAAGGTCCTGGAACTCACTCTGTAGACCAGGCTGGCTTCGAACTCACAGAGATCATCTGCCTCTGCCTTCTGAGTGCTGGAATTAAAGGTGTGTGCCTCCAACACCCAGCACTGAAGAGTATTTCTAGGTTCACCATATAATGGAAGAGGACAATACCCACAACTAGACATCTTATGCTATCAAGTAAAACACCCAGGGTAAATAATAACAGGTTACATCTTGTGTTGTTGGCCAAAGGGGTACCATGAAACTCATCAAAACATCGCAGGATATTGCCCAAGTTACTGGTTACCCTCTACAATCTGACAATACGGCCCTATTGCTGAAGATATGTCATCAAACATGCAGAAATTGGGCTAGTGACCAACTAAGGAGCTTCAACCCCTACTGACCAGCATTCATGGTGCTGGAAAGATACTATGCATACTACAACAGAAAAGTAATCATCCGTATTATTCAATTCTGACCTACAACAGCAATCTGCCTATAAGATATGCTAGTGCAACAGTGACACAAATGTTATGGGAATAACCAAACATTTTTTGACTGGATTTAAGGCACACTCTACGAGATGGAATTCTATCACTGCAAAAGTGGCCAAGAACCTGACACTAAATAAGTCATGGGCCCTATCGAAAAACCTACTACTCTTACTCTGCAAAACGAACACATTAATAAAATAAGTCCTAATGACGTATTGCTATACCCTTTGATTAATGCATCACTCAGCCCTCACAAGAGAAGTTTCTTACAGTAGATGGGAATTTAACAGAGACCCATAACTGGACAATGTGCACAGAGTGAGATACTTTGTAGCACTCAGTCCTAAATGGGATATCTTTATTAAATTCCTCTCCACTCAAGGCCCAGGATCTATGCAAAGAGGAAAAGGAAAGATTATAAGAGCCAGAAATGGTAGACTCCAAGGAAACACCATCATCTAGCCAAAACAGGACTGATACACACATGAACTCACACACAAGACTTACACAAGTTCAAACCACATAAAATCCCAGCATGAAGAAGGGGAAGTAGATACATAGTACCACTCCTAACTAAGAAGCTATTTGTAATAGATACCTACTAGGAAAGGGAAAATCAATTTTCTCCAATGGAACAACAATGTGTACTGTATCAGCTCCAGGGTAGGTCCCATGCCTAAGAGTAATTGTCCAACAAAAAAAAACAGACTCCATGCTTTTTGAATGTGTTTGGTTTGGTTTGGTAATTTCTTATTGTGAGCTGGTTTTTGTTTTGTTTTTGTTTTTTGTTTTTTTTTTTGAGAAAGAAAATGAAGTAGGTAGGAAGATATGAAAAATCTGGGAGGAGTTGAGGAAAGGAAAAGAATATATTAAAATATATTGTTGTACAAAATTTTTTTAAGTAACATGTTTTATTTTAATATATATTAAAACAGGTTAACATCACTACTTTTCACATACAATCCATTGGGGTTATACATCTTTTACATGCTTATTAAGGAGGAAGCTCACAGGCCTCAAACCTAGACAAAGCTACAAGCAACTAAGGAATACCGAGAGTAAGAAAAATGGTCTTGCCTAAAACTCATGATTTTCCCAGTAGTCAGGGGATGAGCCAAGAGGATCATGAGTTTGATGTCAGCCTAAGTTACATTTAAAAAAAAAAAAAAAAAAAAAAAAAAAAAAAAAAAAAAAAGACAGTGAAATCAGGAAAGAGCTCAAGGCTAAGGCTAGTTTCCAGTACATAGCAAGTTTGAGACCAGACTGGACCTACATGGGACCTTGTATCCAAAAAGAAAAAACAAAGTCTAGTTTTATAGTGGCACACACCTTGAATCCAAGCATTTAGGAGGCTAAGGCAGAAATATCTCTCAGTGTGAATTTGAGGTCAGTCCAGTCTACATAGTGAATTTTAAGCCAACCAAGAGTACATAATGAGACCCTGTTTCAAAAAGCCAGAAACAAACTTTATCAACAAAAAGCTAACCATGTCAGAACATAGCTTTAATGCCAGCACCAGGCAGGCAGAGGCAAAAAGATCTTTGTGAGTTCATAGCCAGTCAGCCTGAGTTCATAGCCAGTCAGCCTGATCTACCTAAACAGTTCAGAGATACATACTGAGACCTTGTCTCAAAAATATTTTTTTAGAAAAGAGAACAAAACATGTATAGTTTTCTATATGTCTGGTAAGGCTTAAAAATATATCCTAAGTCTGCATTCTAATAAATCAATAGAAGAAAATGTTAAGAATTAAGATAGTCAAGGGGCTATCTTTTTTACTTTTAAAAACAAATAACGTCGCCAGGCATTGGTGGCACATGCCTTTAATCCCAGCACTCGGGAAGCAGAGGCAGGCGGATCTCTGTGAGTTCGAGGCCAGTCTGGTCTCCAGAGCAAGTGCCAGGATAGGTTCCAAAGCTACACAGAGAAACCCTGTCTTGAAAAAACAAACAAAACAAAAAACAAAAAAAAAAAACAAAAAACATGGCATTTTATTTTCTAGGGTCCTGAAATGCAGGAAATTTCAAGGTGTAATAAGGTGATGCTGGTTCCACATTTAAAAGTGCTGGCTTGCTTGCTTGATCATGAAGGACCAGAGTATGGATCCCAGTATCTTTTTTGTTGTTGTTGTTTTGAGACAGGGTTTCTCTGTGTAGCTTTGGAGCCTGTCCTGAACTTGTTTTGTAGACCAGGCCTGCCTCTGCCTCCAGATTGCTGGCGTTAAAGGTATGCACTACCACCTGCTGGCTCCTAGCACCCTTTTAACAAGCCAGGTGGGTATCCTGTAACTCCAGCTCTAATCTGATGCTTCAGCCTCCACACCTACAAGCACAAGCACCTGTATGCACACACTGGAAAACAGACACAATAAATCTTTCTCATTAAAATGGATCCAAGTACATACCTGAGTAAGCTCATAGGCTCTGTATGCCAAAAGGGATGTAATTCTACTGGCATTTTTAGACACATGACATTCATGCTTTGGTGTAGGATCCAAAGCATTTTTATTTAACATAGGTTCCAAGCTTTTTACACTCAGAGGATCATAAATACTCTTTATTTTACCCTAAAATAGAGAAAACATTTTAAGTATCCATTTAACCTTACCTTTACCATATGCTATCATAATGAAAATACAAGTGCTATTAAATGGTTCACCTACTTATATTACCAACATGTTACTTTTTTTTCCATCATTTTCTTTTGGAAAACAGTTGTGTGTAGAGGGGGATGTGGGGTGGGGGAGTGGTAGTGAGGTAGTTAAACAGGTAAAAACACCAAGCCTGATAACTTGAGTTTCATTCTCAGGATCTACAAGGTTCAAGAATAACTAACTCTCCCAGTCCCCCAAGTCTTCCTCTGATCTTCATATACATCCTGTGGCATGTGCACCCACACATATACATACATTAAAGTAATAAATAAACATAAAAAGATAGCAAACCAATTACTCTTAAGAGTCTAGAGTATCAGGGGCTGGAGAGATGGCTCAGAGGTTAAGAGCACTGACTACTCTTCCAGAGGTCCTGAGTTCAATTCCCAGCAACTACATGGTGGCTCACAACCATCCATTATGAGATCTGGTGCCCTCTTCTGGTGTGCAGATATACACGGAAGCAGAATATTGTATACATAATAAATAAAATTTAAAAAGAGTCTAGAGTATTTTCATATACCACCAAATATACTTTTAATTCAAACTCCTAAAGTCATGAGAGCACTTAAAATTGAAATCCAAGTTAAATGTTGTCTTTCATAAATACCTATGTTAAAATTACCTTCATTATTTTAAAAATAACAACGTCGCCCACTGCCCCGGCTTCCAAAGGATTAGACTGTAAGAGATCTGCATATCTACACAGATAGATACCTAACAGAAAGAGAAAAATAATTTGAACAATTAGGTTTTTAATCAAAATATTCAACAATAAAAGCAAAAGGAGGTATGCCAACTGTTTAAAAGCAAAACTAAAAGCAGTAGAGATAGCTAGAGTAAAACATGAAATTAATCATGTTTTTCAAAATCATTTTGACCAGAATAAAACATTTTGAATAGTAATAGTTCATCAATTAAAAGTATGCAAAATCAGAAGCAAAGAAATATCATTACATTTCAGAACAATACTAGTCTCCTTATTTGAAAATATATATAAAAAATAAAAAAAGATTTAATTAGTGATTATAGGCAGATTACATTAAGAGTTTTAAATGGCAACTTAATAGTAATTAAGTATAAATAAAAAACAAACAAACAAAAACATTACCCATGGAAGGGCTGCCAAGAATAGTTATTTTGGACTGGCCCACCTGCAATCCTTTTTCACATATGCTTTGAACCTAAGTAAACAAAACATTTCAGTTGGAAATCACAATAAGAAAAATCAGTTATTTATTTATTTTTGGTTTTTCCAGACAGGGTTTCTGTGTGTAGCCCTAGCTGTCCTGGAACTAGCTCTGTACACTAGGCTGGCCTTGAAATCACAGAGAGATCCACCTGCCTCTGCTGGGATTAAAGGCCTGCACCAGCACCAGTACCAGCACCAGCACCAGCACCAGCAGCACCAGCAGCACCACCAAGCAAAACTTATCTTTATTTATGCTACTTGTGGCAGATACTCTCACAAACAAGAGAATTAAGACCAGAAAAAAATACACAATTTTTTTAAGACTTATTTTTAATACTCTTATTTATGTGCAATATGTATTTGTGTGTGGTGGTACTCTCAAACACCAGAAGAGGGCAGTGGATTCTCTGGAGCTAGAGCTACAGGTGCTTCTGAGCTGACCAATATGGGTGCTAGGAATTGAACTCAGGTCCTCCTATAGAGCAGCAAGTACTCTTAACCACCTCTCCAATATCAAGCAAAATATTTAAAGAGAAAGTTAACCACTAAGGGGAAAAAATGGCTATTAAGAATACACAGTCAGCATTATATAAAGCAATCTTGTTTTCATAAAAGAAAATCAAGCATGTCCTAAGGGAACAAATAGAACTGATCAGAGAAATTATTACATTTGAAAAAGAAATTACAAAACATATACTTTGCCCCTCTGAATCATTTATTCTACTTATATGTCAATAAAAACATAGGTTACAGTAAATGCCTTTAACTCCAGATGACTGGCAGCAAGATGCCCCCAAGTTCAAGGACAACCACAGATAGATAGATAGATAGATAGATAGATAGATAGATAGATAGACAGACAGACAGACAGACAGACAGACAGACAGACAGACAGACAGCACTGGAAAGGTGACTATTAAGAGCTCATACAGCACTCATGTCAGACAGCTCACTACTGCTGTTAACTTTCACTCCAGGAGATCCAATACATGCCTATCTCATGTGCATATACCATATACTTTATTAAAAATAAAGATAAATCATAAAGAATAAACGAAGATTAGAAAAGATGGCTTAGTAGGTAAAGGCACCTACCACCAAGACTGACAACCTCAACACTCTCTCTCTCTCTCTCTCTCTCTCTCTCTCTCTCTCTCTGGGAAGAAAAGTTATCTTCTATTTATCAAATGCATTGTTGAATAACTGTGAAACTCCTAAGTTACAACGGAAACAGTTACCTCACCTGGTATCGATCAACCATGAGAAATGCGTAAGATTCTGAAAGTTCCTTATCCAAACGACCATCAAACTTCAGTTCTCTTCTTTTTTCTGTAAACTAAAAGAAATTAATTTATAACTAATTAGCATGATTGTTTCATTAAGCTTAAGAGTTAAAGAAATTTTTGTAAGAAATCTCAAACCTATCAAAATAAAAATCTTCCTATGTTTTCTGCTATTCAGGGTGTCAATTTTATTTCTTCCTATTTTAACTCCCTGTGTGTGTGTGTGTGTGTGTGTGTGTGTGTGTATTAATTAGTTCAAAGTATCTAGTACTTACCAATTTTAGCCAATTTTCTAGCAAAAAAAAAAAAATGAATATACCTCCAATCTCCTCAAATATTATATAATGATGTTATCTTTTTATCTTCCACTTAACATGGTATACTAAATACAATTAATTGATGGTTTAATTTATTTAAGCCAGGCACAGTGGCACTTAACCTTGTTAACCCAGCAGTTTGGAGCAGGAAGATCCCTTTGAGTTCAAGGCCAGTCTCTGGTACAGAATGGGACCTTGTCTAACTTATGTTCCCTATTCGTCAAGTAAAGTAAAGTAAAGACTGACTGGGCTTACTTTTAGATTCAAACAGATATCTATTTAAACTATAGAAGAGCAAGCATTTTGTATTTGTTTTCTGGCTACCTCTTCAAGGAGGTACTATAACTTCAGATAAAATTTCCATATACAATTAACAAATAATCCCTACTATCCCATGAAACCACATCAAACTATCAAATTCTTACTTTCTCTAGAACTAGTAAACAGTGACCTTCAGGAAGACTTTCAAAGTTAAACTTTGGTAGCACATTACCAAACTTTGTAGTATTTCACATCTATTGGAAAGCAATAAAAAACATTCTAAAATTCCATTTGTGTTTTACCTCAGAATTCTACACGATGGCTTTTCCTATATTAAACTCAAAGAACATCTAATTTGTATATGAAATTAGGATTCATTGTCACCTGTTGCCCTTTGTATATACTTTTTCAGTAAGAGTTTCTATGTGGGAAGGAGGACTTACCCCTATAATTACAACACTAGGAAAGCTCAGACAGGAGAATTACTTCAAGTTCAAAGTCAATCTGACCACACAATGAGTTCCAAACCACTCTGGACTAGCATAAGACCCAGTATTAAAAAAAAAAAAAAAAAATTTAACTTAGTTAACAATACAGCCAACAATTTTAGCAGAAGAAAAAGATTATTTCCTAACAAAACACATTAAGTCTTAAGTCTTAATTTTTTTTAAAAAAAGGATTTCTTCCCCAGGCTAATTACATACCTCTTTTTCCAAAAGCTCATTATGTATCAAGCAAGCTCTTCTATAGTTAAAATTTGTTACTGAGGATGGCTCAAGGTAAGATGAATGGAGAATATTTAAAACATCTTCGAATTCTCTAGAGCCTGGAGTTAATGACTGGAAAAGTGCTAAAATTAAAAATATATATATATATATGAATTATAAGATTATTCTATTACAAATATATACGTTTTTCTGTTTTTCTTTAAATATCTAACTTCAAATGAATAAAAGGCATCAAAAGTTACTCTATTTTAGCCGAGCGATAGTGACGCACATCTTTAATCCCAGCACTGGGGAGGCAGAGGCAGGCAGATCTCTGTAAGTTCGAGACCAGCCTGGTCTACAAGAGCTAGTTCCAGGACAGCCTCCAAAGCCAGAGAAACCCTGTCTGGAAAAAAAGTTACTTTATGATGTGCAAGAGCTATTAAACTCACTGAGGATGAACAACTACATAGCCCAACAGGTAATGGTGCTTGCTGCACAGACCTGAACAATTGAGTTGGGTCCCTAGAACATACAAAGTTGTCCTCTACCTGCACTTGTATACCCAAGTGCCCATGTGCATGTACACCCATACACAGAATTTTTTTAACTCACTGAAGAAAAATTAAGACTTACCTAAACTAATTCCTTCACATACAAATAAAGGTTCTAATTTTACAAACCTCGGGGATGCTACATAAGGCAATCTATACTGCTTAAACTCTCATGAGAATCTATACATATACTCAACTTGTCTCAATTTCTATTTACATTACACTGACAAAGTACATGTTAGACTATGGTAGTTTAGCAACAATTTACCATAAATGAAAGCTAAACCAGCAGGATAGGTCTTATCTGTAATTCCTACACTTGAAAAGCAGAGAAAATATAATCAAAAGTTTAAGGAAGCCCAATCTACAGCCAGCCAGGACTTTATAGGAAGATCCTGTCAAAAAAAAAAAAAAAAAAAAAATCCAATTTAGACAATGCATCTATAAAATGGTTCTTTGCATTTAGTGATAAAGACAGAATAACATGCAGTTCTCATATGGCTTTATTATCAATATAAAATAGGACATTTTAAACTACCAAATCTTAAAATGAATGCAGGGCTTTGAACCAAACCAAGCAGCCCAAGTCTTTTTGGTTTTCTTTTCTTTTGCTTTCCTCTGAGACAGGGTTTCTCTAGTAGCCCTGGCTTTTTGGGACTCACTCTGTAGACCAGGCTGGCCTTAAACTCAGAGATCCATCTACCTCTACTCCGGATCACTGTGAGTAAAGGTGTGCACCACTTTATCCTAGCTATTTGATGGCTAAGTACATACCAAGTTCAAGGATGGCCTGGACAAGTTAGTGAGACTCTCTTCAAACCAAAATGTAAAATGTAGTAAGTAGAACATTTGTTTCACAAGTTTCAATACCAATAATGGAAAACAACAAAGGACTTGGAGAATTTTAGAGTAAAAACTGAAATACCAGATCTGTCATTTACTGGCTTTGTAGCAGATGATATATAACTTAAACAGCCCAGTTCTCTCATTGTAAAATGGAAAACTCCACTTCTAATAACCATTATATGCTGAATACTATATAAGGCAGTACATAGCAGAACAAAGCAGCTGGTGCAAAATTAACACAAATAAGTGTATATGCTTTTTGTTTTCAACATTTTACATCCCATTTAATTTCCTGTTTCCATATCTGATACAAGTTCTCACTGGGCAGTCAAGGCTAACCTCAAATCCAGTCTCCAGAGTGCTGGAAATACAAGCATGTCTCATTACATCTGGCTCAAATTTGTATGCATGTATGCTCATGCCAAGATGTACATGTAGAGGTCATATAACAACTTTCAGATCATTTTTCTCCTTCTACTGTGGTTCCAGGAATCAAACTGAAGCTTACATACATAGGAAGTGCTTTCACCAGCTGAGATAACTGTCTAGCACTGGAATTTCTATAATACCAAATTATCTAATCTATTTGGTTTAATAACCAAATATTGTGGCACATGCCTTTAATCACAGCATTCAAGACAAGCAGATTTCTGAGTTTGAGACCAGTTTGATCAACAGATTGAGTTCCAGGCCAGCCAGGGCTACATGATCAGGGTCAAAAGAAAAAACCCCACACAAAAAAAAAAAAAAAAAAAAAAAAAAAAAAACTCCAACAACAAACAACAATAATTTCAAGACAGGTTTCTCTGTGGCTTTGGAGGCTGTCTTGGAACTAGCCCTTGTAGACCAGGCTGGTCTCGAGCTCACAGAGATCCGCCTGCCTCTGCCTCCCCAGTGCTGGGATTAAAGGCATGCATCACCACTGCACTTTATATGAACAAAGGATGACTACAAGTAAGCTAAAAAGACATTCAAATAGAATAAGACTACTAAAAGTATCCTGTAATCAAGTTTGTAGATGTATCCAGTAATAAACTGTCAACTCCATGAGAACACCAACTACACCTGACTTGTTTGCTTCATGTTTTCCATATGCTATTAAGTAGACAAGTGAGTAGTTCCAAGTAAACTCAATGGTTAAAATACACTCAAGGCAGTACTTTTTCTAAAGTTCATATAAAGGTTTTTTTTGCTTTCAAAGTTTAAAATCACTATAAAAGCTGAAGCATGGATCACAAAGAGCTACTTCCCAAAGATGAACTTTGTAAATGAATATGCTACACTCAAGTCATCTGTTTTATATCTTAAAATATCTTACTAGGAACCATCCATTTCACTTAGTAAAGTCATTATCCAAAACATTATTTCCTGGATTCTGACAGTTACTGAGTCTTACCACTAATAGGTCACCAACACTTTTTAGATACTGAAACCTTTACATGCATAATCTCAAGTTATCAAAAACACAGATACAATCTGCCACCTTCTCAAAACAAACTAACCCGAGACAGTTAACAGTTATGGTGACCTCAAAGCTACAAAATTAATTGATAATAAGGTAGATGGGACACAAATTCAAGTTCTCTGGATCTAAGGTTATGTTGTAGGTGTGAGCTACCCAATCAGATCAAGAGTCAGAAAAATGTAATTGCATCCATATTTTGTTTTTAAAGAAAAAATTGCTTTATTTGGTTTTTCGAGACAGGGTTTCTCTGTAGCTTTGGAACCTGTCCTGGAACTCAATCTGTAGACTAGGCTGGCCTTGAACTCACAGAGTTCTGCCTGCCTCTGCCTCCCAAGTGGTGGGATAAAAGGTGTGCGCCATCATGGTCCAGCTGAAAAATTCATTTCTAACAAGTTTTCTACCCTTGTCTTTCTTTTAAGTCTTTTTAAAAGTGTATTTAAGTGTATGAGTATTTTGCCTCCATTGATTGTATACCACAGTGCCCAAGTGCCCAAGTGCCCAAGACCAAAAGAAGGTATGGAGTTACAATCAGTTGTGTAAACTGCCATGTAGATGCTGAGAACTGAACCCAGGACATGTGGAAGAACAGCAAAATTGCTGGGCCATCTCTTCAGTTCCTTCTTTCAAATTTATATTAAATATATCTAATTTTACTTATATTAGGAAGAATGGAGCCAAAACACATTACTAATACTCATTGATTACAAAGGATAAAAGGAAGAGAGGAATGGTTAACACCTGTTGTAGGGAGGTGGAGGATCAGTAGTTCAAAGACAGCCCAGGCTATTTCAGACACTGTCAGTTAATAACAGAAGCAACTTAAGTTTTTCACACAGTAATAAACAAAAATAAATAGCTGGGCAATGGTGAGGCACACCTTTAATCCCAGCACTTGTGAGGCAGAGGCAGGAGGATCTCTGAGTTCGAGGAAAGCCTGGTCTACAGATCGAGTGCCAGGACAGCTGGGGCTGTTACACAGAGAAACCCTGTCTCAAAAAAAAACAAAAAAGAAAAATAATTTTGTTTAAATCCCATAAAAAACATGTCAGAAAGATGGTTGGTTGAACTTCATGTCAGTTTCCATATTGAGAAACTAGTTACATATATATATTCCATAAAACCAAACAACAGACATCTAGGATGATATTTGGAGATAATCAGAACTAGAGCCAGATGTGGTGGTGATTACCTGTAATTCCAGAGGCTAAGATAAGAGAATGATTACAATTTAAATTCAACCTGGGCTACAAATTGAGTTCAAGGTCAGCTTGATTTATATACAGTAAGACTGTCTCAAAAAGCAGGTTAAAAAAAAAAATCAAAACAAAAACAAACAAAAAGTCTGAACTAGAATTTAAGTGTCATGATTCACAGATATGGCATCACAACTCCCTCCCCCCAAAAAACCTTTAGGTCAGGTATGTAGCACAAACCTGTGATTACAGCACAGCAGAGGCTGAGGCAGGAAAAAATGAGTTTTTAGTCAGCCTAGGCCACATGGAAATACCTTGTTTCAAAGAAAAAAATAAAATAAAAAATAAGTCAGTCAAAAATTAAGTTTACACCTAGGCCCAGTAGCACAGGCCTGTAATCACAACTACTCAGGAGGCCTAAGTACAATGATCTCAAATTCTAGGCTACCCTGAGTTTATACAGGGATTTCTTAAATGACACACTGTCTCAAAATAAAAAGTAAAAAGATAGCTAATGAGTGAAGTCAATGGTTAAGGGCTTGCCAAGCATAGATGAAGCCTTGGGTTCCATCCCTACTGCCACATCCACACAACACACAAAAAGAATTTACATTTAAGCAACTGGCAATAGGTTTAAAAAAGAATAGCAACTTTGATCTTTAATCAAAAGAACATTTTCCAGGCTGGAAAGATGACTCAGCCATTAAAAGCACTAGCTGCTCTTCCAGAGGACCTGGGTTCAATTCCCAACATCCATATGGCAGCATTCATAACTGTCTCTAACTCCAGTTTCAGGGGATCTGACACCCTCAAACATACCTGCAAGCAAAACACCAATAATTAAAACAAAACAAAACAAAATTTTCCTCAATTAGCTTGACCAATTTATTTTGTGCCAGTGGAGACCTTCTTGTATTGTATATACATGATATGCTAAAAATGGAATACTGCTATTGAAACACATAATCAGAATGTTTTCTGACTTACAAGTAATCATAAAGTAATTACGACTAAATTAGCCAATGAATAGGACTTCAATGTATCTCAGCAGAGCACTTGCCTAACATGCAAGAAGTCAAGAGTTC